TGATCATTGGACTGCACGGGAAAGTCAATGGCAGTTTTTCGAAGGAAAACTAATGTGTTCCCTAGCCCTAGCTCCCGTTGCCAAAAGGAAACCATCCTTCTCTCTGCAAAAAGTTTGGAGGCCAAAATTCCATCCAAAGCAAGAGTAGCAGTAGTGGAAAGATAAGACTTTCTTGTAAAAAACAGCTTGAGGTCTTTAATGTCAGACTTAAATCAGAAAGTATTTTGTATTTATTAGGAATCTTTCATAATAGCTTTTTCTTACTATAGTTTTTCATTTGGATTTATTACTGATTTTACAGCTTTCTTAGGGAGTGAAGAGGATGAGGCGAACCCCTTTTCAGTAATGGCCAGTGACAGGACTAGAGGAAAGGGCCAAACTGAAGCACCAAAAGTTCCTCAGGAACTTAAGGAAAAAATTCTTGACAGTGAGGGTGACAGAGCCCTGGCACAGGCTGCCCAGAGAGGTTGTGGAGTCTCCTTCTGTGGAGACACTGAAAACCCACTTGGACACAATCCTGTGCTAGGTGACCCTGCATCACAGAATCACAGAATCACAGAATATTAAAGGTTGGAAGGGAGCTCTAGAGATCATCCAGTCCAACCTTCCTGCTCAAGCAGGCACACTTACAGCATGTGGCACAGGGCGGCATCCAGGCCGGTTTTGAAGACCTCCAGAGAAGGAGACTCCACAACCTCCCTGGGCAGCCTGTTCCACTGCTCTGTCACCCTCACAGGAAAGAAGTTCCTCCTCACCTGGAGATGGAACTTCCTGTGTTTCAGCTTATGCCCATTTCCCCTTGTCCTATCGCTGGCCACCAATGAAAAGAGCTTGTCCCCTTCTTCCCTGCATTCTCCCTTCATGAACTTATACATGTTAATCAGATCCCCTCTCAGCCTTCTCTTCTCCTGAGAAAACAGGCCCAGCTCACTCAGTCTCTCAAATGTGCATGTGGTGGAGGGTTGGACTACATGACCTCTAGAGGTCCCTTCCAACCTTAAGGATTCTATGATGATTCTATGATTCTTTCACTGAACACCTAGACTTTTGCTGCACTAATCTGTCCCTGTGAAAGCATGTTTTTATCATAAACTCTTAATTAAAGTTCAATAAGGACTTTTTTTTTTCCCTAAAATTATGCTCACTTGTGAATTAGAACACAAGATAACTGTCAATGCTGCAGGGCAGCAGCAAGGTGTTATCAAAGAGCAAAATCCTGAAGCAGGATTTAGCTCCCCTAGCTTCAGTGGTCTGATGTGCACAGGGATGTGTGTGAACACTCAGTGGTAGTCAGTGGTGGGGTGCCAATACAGGGTGGTGTGTCCAGCATGATGTTTAGTTAATCAGATGTAGATAATTGAGGAATGAGCTGCAACGCTGGTTAGACTCCACTGGTTGTGGTGTCTATGTTACTGCTGGACATAACGGAAATACAGTCATCTAGTGTCAGTGCTCACCCTGCAGGCATCTGAATTTCAAGTGTGCTGAATCCCACTAGTCCAGTCAATTGCTGAAGTCTCCTAGTCACTGTGTGAGATAAATGGCTCCATTAGGTGCATTTTCAGTGGAAGTTTTTGCAGAATAAAAATAATTGCTCAAAATACGATTGCCTTTAATTATAACCTATAGGTGGCATTCTGGGGTTTTGTTGGTGATGTTTTTTTTGTGTGTTCCTCCTGCACTCCCACTGCTCAACTCTTGGAGATTTGGGTGATTGGGACATGCAAGACCTTGGGACCTTATTGGGACCTTATGGCATGTGCAAAAGGATCTACATTCCATAAAAGCATTATATAGTGAGGATTAATTAGCTTGCATTCAGTAAGATCAGGGTTCACAGACAGCTGAAGTTACGGGACCCGTCCAAGTGGCTCTAGAATATTGAGCCAAGTTGTAAGTTTTGCACTCAGAATAAACACAGTGCCCTGCTTATTTAGGCACACGTGCTGCTTCTGCCATCCCTTGCTCTCAGTGAGGATGTGGTGGTGCTTATCTCTTGCATTTCCCTAAAGGTCAGATGCTAGAATTCAGTTACACAACTGAGCCATGTGTTTTCCCATCAGTTTCACCCAAATGTTTCTGATTTGTGTTATCGTTATTAGGTGACGTTCCAAATAGCAGTGTTAACTGTTTCCTTCTGTGGCTTAGCACTAAGAGAAAATTATAATACATTCCCAAGTCAAAACGTTTAGCACTTGTAGCAAACATGCATTTTTAATTAAACATTTTTGAAAGGTTGAAAGAAAAACACTTTTTTGTCATAGAAGAAGAATATTTGAAAACTATTGGCACATTGTACATGTTTATTTTATGTCACTTATGAAATATACAGTTATTACGCGTAGAGTTTTAATAGTGCATTGGTGTTCCAAATTTGTTTTCTCGTCATTTGGCCAGCACGTTAAATTCATAGTGAAAGTAGCAGGCATTGGTGGTTATAATCCTGCAATGGAAAGACTCCTAAAAATATAACTTTTTTTTTTTTTTTTTTGGTGAGGAAAGATTTTAGACTGTTGAAATCAGTCGTCTTTGTTCCAGCTTTTTAGAAGAATGACTTCATTTGTGTTATTTAGCTCAACAACTCATATGACCATCTCAGACTAGAAGTTTGCACAAAGATGAGTGAATGAGCACAATGGCTTATCTTTTTAACCTCATCAGGAAAAAAATACTATCTTTGAGACAGTTGTAAAATAATTGTAATTTCTTTTTGTGGAGGCAAAAATAGCCTGAACTACATTATAGTCCAGTATATACAGATAGTAAAGGGGAAACTTTGAAACTTCTGTGAATCTCTTTGACTAAAGTTTCTTTGTTGTGTGCCTGTGTAAGGAATCACATCGACGTGATAAAACATCAGAAACAGCCATGTGTTCTTCTGCCCAGTATGGAGAGACAACAGTTTAGTGGCATTTTTGTTTACATTGCGTGCCTTGTGTGTGTTCTGACGGGAAATGTGAACGACTGAGTGGTTTTATTCAAACTATGCTGCAAATGTTACTAAGCACTTATTTTGTTGTATATTCTGGTAGTTCTCAATCCTGTGTTATTTAAATACTAAGTACTATAGGATATTTTTAAGTTATGCTCCCTAAAAATAAGTCATGTTTTGCTTTGTTTTGTCTAAATTGAAACAAGAATATAATAGTTTTAGACTGTTGAGTCCTAGCAAAATTGTGGAAGTCTGCTGCTCCTTCTTTCAATTACACTTACCTGAGTTTTGAAGTCATTTGAAGGTGACCACATTGACCAAGGTGCCTATAGAGGAGGTGTGCAAAGAGAAATTCATCAAAAATGACAGATATGGCACAAGCAAAGTCCTCATCCTGCTTGAGTGAAGAAGTGTGTATTTTGGGTAAAAGTTTTTTTTTTCTCCTTCTATAAAGTTCCATTTAGCTATATCTTTTAATGGTGAAAATAGGCAGAATAACTTAAGAAAAGAAATTGACCCCAGAAGTGCAGAAGGGAACACGCACCAAGTTTAGAGCAGTCAAGTGCCTTATGGAAACCAGGAAAGTCTGTATGCTATTTCCAGCATCTGAAAATTGATTGTTCAAAGTCTGTATTTCAGTTATATGCGAGAGGGATTGTAATGACTCATAAACCACTTCAGTACACTAAAACATCCAGCTATTCCTGTCACTCCTCTGACTCCAGCAACTAGTTCAAAGGAAAGGAATCATACCCAGTAACCTGCGCAAGACGTGGCTCAATACTTCAGATAAGGGAGGAGGAAAAGGAAGTTCTTGGGTGGCCGGGATGTTGTCCTTTCCAACAGCACTTTTTTCAATGCATTCATTTATTTATTTTTAAAGCACTTGACCTTGGGATTTCTGTGCTTCACATTTGTAAGCAGGATTTGACAGATGTTACAGTGAAAATTGTAAAAGTAATTACGAGTCTGAGTGCGCTCTACAGCTGTTTCATATATCCTATTTTGAGCGTGCAAAAAAATAAATAAGAAAGATTAGTTCATAATTAGAACTCTAGTTCTAATCTGAAATAGTTTAAGAAAAAAAGACCTGGAACTGCAGTAGGTTTCTAGTTTTCTTTACAGTAGGGAATTCAAATTAAACCTGGGAATTTTTTTTTTTTTTGCTTTTATTGAATATGTGTTCCAAATATACCAATTTATAGAACTCAAGTGACAGATATATATTATGTACACTTTCCTTACCTCTCAACTTGAAATGAATTATTTCCTAAACTGTGCCTGTTTTCATAACAACTTTTGTTATGGTGTAGTAGGATTTCATATCGTACGGCTGTAGTTGAATATGCCATATATGATACAAGGAAAGTTATGGGAGAAGCTTTGATTAAAGCAGTAGATTCAAAATTAGCTTGTCATTTATTGACTTGTGAGTGGTTAATCAGTGGTTAAGTTAATTAACAGAAGGTTATGTGTATGAAACATGCATACATGCCTAGGTTTGACCTGAAGATCCTCTTCACCATTATTGGGATGGCGAAGCCAGGATGAGTTTGTTCTTTGATTAGTCTTAGTCTTTCATCTGACTCCTTTCATGTTTTTATCTGACTCGTGCTCTCAAAGTTTCTTCTGTTGCTGGGGTGTCCTTCCTCGTGTTGACTGCCCCGCGCATACAGGGTTTGAGGAATGTTCTAAGTGGAGACTGTAGAAAGACAAGTGGGATGAAGTAGGCAGAAGTGATTTTGATGTCAACGATGCGGCTGAGTTTGTGATGAAAAGTAGTCAGTTAGAAGAAAAAAGGTCCTGAAGATACAGAGTGATATTTGCACTGGTAGCTACTGTTGCTCTGGGTGCGATGAGATGAACCTTCTCTGCCCACAACACATCTTCAGTCAAACAGCAAAGCCCCCATAGCCGTGGCCGTGTTTGCTCTCTCTGACGTGGCTGTGTGGAGTGCTGGTAACTTCAAAGCTAGACAAAAACATGTGTTCTTTTGATGTTTGAAGCTTAATCAAAATAGCAGCATAGGTTACAGATCATTTAAAATACAGCCTTTTTCTCTTGGCAGGTACCGAGTGAGCTTCAGGCCTCGACGTACAGTTGCATACAAAACTGTAACAGAGCTGGAATGGAGGTGTTGTCCTGGGTACAGAGGTGCAGACTGCAAAGAAGGCCCCGAGCAGCCCAACAGTGCCCGTCATCCCACAAAACCGGCAAAAGCTGTTGTGAAGAAAGGCTTGGGTAACGTTTTGTTTGAATTTTGGTATGCATGACCATGTCTGGTTTCTTCTCTTGTCATTTTAAAATATAAGAACCAACATGGTTTAGGTGCAAAAACCATATGCAAGATGCTGCAGAGTTGAGAAAATCTAAGTCCGGGAACAGTTGTGATACAGGGAATTTCACAAGGAGTGGGTTGGTGGGTGGCCATAAATAGCACCTGGCTATCAATGTTTCAGGAAAAACTTTGTGTTAAGGTGGTTTATTTTAAGAATTTACACTTTTTTGTTTGTGGTTTCCCAAATGTACAGCAAAAAGATACATTTGAGAGAAACTGTCACTAAAAAGAAAAAAAAAATAGGTACAAGTTGTAATGATATATGATGCTGCCACTAGCACCTCGTGATGTGATAGTACCTTAATCAGTGAACGATCTTTGTGCAAGAAACTGCCTTCTGAAAGGGTAAGAGGAGGGCAGTTGCTGCAATCTTGTGCCTTTTCCCAGTTGAAAATGCTTCCTTTTGAAGGGTTTTTTCACCTCTCAGATTCCTGTTGTACGTAGCGCTTGATCAGTTTTCCACTGTAGTTTTTGTGTAGGGTGAATTGGAACCGCGGAGATGGCTCTAAAACAGCCTTAGGGAGGCTACAGAAGCTTGAGAAATAGACCCTTTACATATTTTTTAGTTCATCTAAAATACTATATCCAATAGATGGTACAAAATTTTTGTTGTATCTTTACATAACTGGCACACTATGTCTGAACATTTTTCATGATCTGACTAAAACCCCATAAGAACTGCACAGCAATGCAAAACCAGGCAAATGTCTATGTCGTAGCTACAACTACAGTAGCTGCAGTGTGTGTGGGTAAGTGTCTTTATTAAATCAACACAGGTCACACTGCCAATCTTGAATAGTTAACATTGTGACTTCCTAACTTCTTTTTAATGTCTTCAAGCTGAAATCCAGTTTAAGGAAGCTTCCAGCTGTATCTCCCTCACACAGTGCCTCAACTCTTTAACGTGTATCCAGCATTCATAGCTAGGTACACCAGTGGTAAAAGGATTTTCTCAAAAAATAGAACTATTAACAGCACTCCAACATAGTTTAGTGATAATCTGAACCAAGATCAGATTTTCTTACCCTGATCTTCTTCCTTTCATCTGAGACAGCCCTTCTAATGCTAGAAGCTTGTGTCTCTTTTCTGACCTAGCTAAAGATGTGTATTTCCTTCTTTGCTTCTGCTTCTTAATGGCATTTGTTTTGCTTTTATTTATATTTGCAATAGTATCCCTTAACTGTGCAAAGCTCTCTGATTTATAAACCGAATAAAAGATGGCATGCAAAATCAAAATTAGGATAATACCTGACATATGAAGTTTATCCACTTGTGCATAATGGCAAGGATACATAGGAGTATTTATACATAGAAAATATTTGTATGGTGTACACATTAAAATGACATTTAAGTTGGTTAAACTAAGTAGTAATCTGTTCACTTCATAAGAAGTATGATTTATATGAGATCATCATTTCAGATCACAGTCATTACTTTGACTTAACAATGCCTTGTTACTGCGTCAGAGAGTCCTTGAAAATAGGTTGGAAAGATTTTACAAGGCCAGTTTATCCATCCTATGCAGTAAGATCAGCCCTATCTCCTCTACTCCTTGCACCTGTTTGCCTGTCCTCCAGTGGTGGCAATTCTGCTGCTGCTCTGCATTGTCCTCTGATCTTTCACTTTTTACATCTCCCCTTTCCAGCTTCGCCTTGACTTGCAGCCAAGGCACTGCCACTGAAAAAATGGATTGGAAGGATGGTTTCAACCTTATTAACTGATTATTATGTTAATTAAAAAATAAATTTCAGGCAGAAATTTGCTCTTTCCTTTTTTGTTTTCACTAAAGGAGATAGTGCCAGTGCTGTTACCATCTAATCATTTCGCATGTGCAAAGCTTATGCTTTTATACATATTTATTTTAAAAAGTCTGAAATAATCGGGTATTTCTAAAACCAGTGTGTTAATCGTAGTATTCTTGAGAACCCAGTCTATTATATGTTTTTTTATACCAGTTCAGGAAAATATTGGAGCACAAACCTGCTTTATACATGTAAATGATTGCTACTGAAGTCCTACTGAAGGTAGGAATTCGGGAGCAGAACATGCTAAATTATTATTTATAAAGATGCAGTGGCTCTGAGGCAATTATACTGTGTTGTATAAGGGTATATAATGACTTATACATACTATAACTTAGATTCATATTTGAATAGGGAGGGTTTCTGCTTGCTTGTTTATTACTTGCCATTGTAGTATCCTGTCAGAAATTGGCCTCTGAAACTTTATTTTGGAGTTACTTGATAAACTATGAAAACAAGAATTAAAAAAAGGGACGAACATTATACATGTAAAGTAAAATTAGCCTTGACTGACCAAAATGGATACCATTAAGAATACTGATATACAGATTTTGTGTTATTTCTTTGAAACAGATGCAGAGCCAACAGAAGTACCAGAACCTCCACCATATGAGAAGAAAATGCAGTTTATTGAGGAAGAGTTATTCAGACTTACACGGTCAGTTCTTGACCTTCAGTCCTCCTTGGCAGGTGTGAATGAAAACCTAAAGCTGACAGTGCAGGAAGATGCCAGTAAGATGCTGGTCACTTGGCTGAACAATCTTTATGACCGCCCAGGGCCTGATAGTGCAGTTGGTGGTGAGACAGACACTATTCGTCTGCCTGGACTTTTCAACGGTAAAGACCAAAAAGACCCTTTTATTGATTTTGAAATGGAAGATATCAAGTCGGAGCTAGCTGAGGTCAAAGAAGCTTTGAAGATCAGGAATGACCAATTGGAAGAATTGAATGGAAAAGTAAAAGGCTATGAAGGACAATTGAAACAACTGCAGGAGGCAGCACAGGGACCTACAATAACACTGCCTAGTGACAATATATACAAGGACTATATAGACTCAAAATTTGAGTCACTCAGACAGGAAGTACTGGAGGGATTTGAAAAGAAAATGGCAGATCTGAAGAACTCCTGTGAATACAAACTTCAGGATATCCAGCAGCAATGTGATGACAATGAAAATAACTGTTTAGGAATAATTGATGTTATAAAAGGAAAGGAAAATGATTTGAGGAAAGAAATAAATACTCTTCGAACTCAGATTCCATCAAACCAGTCCAGCTGTTGCAAAGAGGGTAGTAGAAGTGACTATGACCAGTGGATAAGAGATTTAGACAGGAAGATCGATAGAGTTGCGGAAGCACACAGGATCTTGAATGTCAGGATAGATAATGAAATCAGTCGATTGTCAACTCCAGATTTAGAAGACATGTTTGGTGAGAGACTAGAGGAACTAGATGCCAGGATGAACATTACAGAGCGAAATGCTGAGGAACATTGCTTTTACATTGAAGAAACTCTCCGAGGCACTATAGCTGCTGAAGTAGACGAATTGAGGGACTTGTTTGACCAGAAGCTACGGGCACTGGAAGACAGACTTGGTGGCACTATTTTTGAAATTGCTAATACCACAGACCCAGATGGAATATATATGAGTCCCGGGCCTATCCTGCCCAGTGACTCTGGATTTGTGAATGAACAGTTTACTGCAGAGATGAATCTCCTGAGGAACAAATTACTGTCTCTTGAACACCTTTGTGGGCAGAAATGCCAGTCTGCACCACGAGGTGCAGAGGATCTTCAGAAAGAGATAGCAAACTATAGCAACAAATACAACCTCTTGCTTTTGAAAACACAGGACAACTCCGTTCTTCTGCAGTCTTTAAATGGCTCTTTAAATGAGAAACTTAACTTAATTAAGGGTAACCAACGTGACATCCAGAAAATGCAGAGAGACTTGCGTGTGTTCCGGTATAGTCTGAATGTCATGGATAAGGATATGAAAAATCTTCAAGGTGGCTTAAGTGACTGCAAGGAGCAACTTCTGGGTGTCAATTCCACCTGTAGAAAAACACAACGGGGCGTCTCTCGAAAAATCGATCAAATGCAGAGGACACTTGCAAATCAAACTGCTCATGCTAACGATAATTGCTGTATTGAAGTGAAAGACAGACTGGAGCAATTAAACGACCAGGTCTTGAATGATCTTAGCAAGTGTAAGGAGAAGACCCAGGGTATCCAGGAGGGTGTTTCAGATGTGGATAGCAGAGTCTCCCGTGTTGAAAAGGTTTGTGGCAGGCTGGACTCCGTCTCAGGTAGCTTGGAGAGGATAAAAGAAGGTCTGAATAAGCACGTGAGCAGCTTATGGAACTGCATCCGTGAGATGAATGGAACTGTAACATCCCATTCCAAAGATATTTCTGGCCTCAAAAATTCTGTCCAGCGATTTTACAGTCAGGTCTCTAAAATCACCACAGACATTGAAGACATGATGAAAAATCAGCCTGGCACAAGTAAGTGTTTTTTTTTTTTTCCTTTTCCTTTTTTAATGACTTCTTTGTTTTCTGCTAACGTTTTTTGAATCATTTGCAGAGGAACTGAAACAGGGAGGAAGAAAATTGTATTACACAGGTACCCTAGTTTTGACTCTGCTCTAGAAAAATATAGATGACTGCTATTAAAAGTATTTCAAAAATAAAAGGTGAAGGAAAACATATTTATGGATTGTGAATTTAAAATTAATTTTAAATAATTATCTGTGGGTGTTATTCAAGTTAATTGTCTTTGATTTCCTTTTGTTTGTTTTGTTTTGCTGTGTGAAATTATTTCTGATTTCTCAGGAGATTGAAAAGTAAATGGAGCAAACTGAAGGAATCCAAATCTATGATAATGACTATTCCTATAAGATGAGTCCTCTAAATTTTGTTCTTAATTAATGAATTAATTATTATAATTCAGCACCTACTCTTTGATTGAGGATTTTCACAAACAGCCTCTTGGCAAATCTTGCTGTAGCAAATTAAGATTTTTCCTTCATAGCCCTGCCAGAGGTTTGTGTTCCCACCACCCCACATAGTTGGCAATTTTTCACACCCTCCCTGGGAGTATTTTCACACGCCAACCACTTAACGTGTTCGCTCAAATCTACCTTCACAGATGGTTTAAGGTTTGCGTTAGTGCTCCTGAGAAGCAGAGACGCTTTCCCTTTGGCTCTCACCGCTGTGAGATGGTAGCGCCTTGCAAAGAGCACGGCGGGGATGTGGAGACACTGGTGAACATTGCCGTGATGCTGCAGACGCCTCATCTGGTGCCACTCAGCCTCCTCTGATGAGACCTTTTTTGAAAGGTTTAACAGAGGGAAGATGGGTTCCTGTTTCTCTTACTGTGATTGAAAGACAGAGGAAATAGAGTTTGAAATTGAACTTCGTTTCAAATAGAAATTCAGTTTGAAATTGAACTCTTTGGTTAGTTGTGAAACACAGAATATGATTCTATTCTAAATTCTGTATACCCATGAGATAAATTTGACATAACAAGAATTACTGTCTCAAAAGTGAGGTAGATTTCTTTTGCTGGAAAGAACATCGCAGGCTTTGGTTTCTTTGACATTTTATACCTTTAAGCAAAGTCTATTAAGGATGAGAAATTTTGGGCTGGCCAGCCCTCTATTGATTCCTGGATGCAGTTGGGAAGAATTTGCTTTTAAAGGGCAGCATGAATTCAGTTATTAAGAGAGCAGCAGGAAAGAGGCCAATTTCTGTGATTGGCCCCAGATCAGAAAAAGCGGTGCTGAGTGAAAACCTTGTGGGTTCTTGCAGCTGCCGCGGCTGAGGGAGATCTGATACATTGCTGTGAGGGGTCCTGCTTCCACAAAGAAGTTATATGGCTTGAAGGATCTGAAAATGATTTCTGAGTGGAAGAAAATGCTTCATACTCTGAGGCAGAGTCCTGAAAGCCTGTGATAGGTGTGTTTGCTTTGTGTAGTTAGTCGTTACAACCCAACATGTTGCAGTACTTGCCTCAAAATCCTTCTGAGCTAAGCAGCTTTTGTCCTACATTAAAAAAACAAACAAACAAACCAGCAACAAAAACAGCATTTCTCTTCCTTTAAGATAAGTGAATGGGAACGGAGCAAACCCATAATTCTCAGACATTTCCTTTGGTGAAATCTTGACTCTGCTCAGGGTTAGGACTTCACCCATAGATCTTGCAAAAACAGACCCATTAAAATGCAGTATAATGTATTTGCGTAATCCTATTTCTCATCCATCTCACCCTCAAAAGAATTGCACTAGGGACTGATATTGGGGAGGGAGCCAAGGCACACAGTAATCTTCCTCCTGCTATTCAAGGCAGGTGTCCCAGCAGCCTCATGGGTGGTGTTTATCAGCCCCTGCCACAGCCTCGCAGAGCCGGAGCGTGCCTAGGTTTCCACGGCATAATTTGATTTGAAGACAGAGCTCTCCATCCACTGTCAGTTTTTAGGAACCTTGGGAAAAGTCTCCGCTGTTGGATTCCAGATACACAAGCATTCCCCGAACTCCACTTTCTGCTCCGCAGTACTCGTGGCCTCCCAAGGATTCATAACGCACATACTTAGGTCCCAGAATGTTTCCAATTAAAATAACACTGTCTAGCGGAGCAGCCTGTGTAGGTTTTGATAGTTGGAGTTCCAGGAAGCTTTTGGCAAGATCACCTTTTTTTTTGGAAGTAACTTGGGAGCCCCTTTCTGTGTGTTGGGTAGGGCTCGCTCTGTTTTTATGTCCTGCTTGGGGTCAGTGTTAGTGGTGCACAAAAGGTCTGTCCTTGGCTGTGAGAATTGTGTCCAGGATTTAAATTCATGATCCATGTGGCTGCAGCGTCTTCCCCAGCACCTGTATTATCTGAAATGGAGCTTTTTGATTCAGGTTGTAGCTCAGCATTGGATTTCATAGGCAGTATTTGCCAACGTATCGTAGCATTCACATGAGGTCATTTGACCCGGCGAGGGCTGTAACAGAAACAAGTTACTACTTACACAGTTGTTTGGAGGCAATAACGTAAGGAGTTACTGCAGGAATTATAATACAGAATTTTACCAAGCAGTCCAAGTCCGACGTATTATAAACCTGAGCACAGTCAGAAGAGCCTGAAGTCAAGAATGTGGCTGTATTTTCCTCAGATTTTATTATGAATGTATTTTAGATCTGAGATTATGATAAGTGACTCAGTCCAAACTCGAGTGATGGGTTAGTGAATAATTGTATGTCCCATAGATACAAGCCTAAAGGTCAAGACCTTATTTTATTACTTAGATGAAGGTAATGCAACTTCATACATCAGTAGAAAAGGTGGCAGGGTTGTTCTGTTATCTATAAAAGTCACTATATAATTTCCTGCCTATTCACAGAGATTCATTAGGTCTTTCTGTAGCTGGAAGAAGCACGGTCTGTGGCCAGATACTGTGCTGGGACTGCAGTTTGGTTGTGAGGATTTGACAGAAACTACAAATCCTTTGGAAATTACCTGTGTAGAAGCGTTTCAAGAATAAAGGCTAAATGCTGTCTGCTGAAGTTGCACTTTAAGAAAACAAATGTCTGTTCTAAATAACAGCATTTTAAAGGGCAGCATAAAATCTTTATGTTGTAGTGCCAGTAAGAAAGGGCCATGTAGCTGCTTCGTGTGGCCTCCCCTCTAGCTCGTACAAAACAGCACTGTGTATGTGAGCTACCGGGTTTCTTTCGCCTCTGCAGGAACATTCGGGTCGTGTCTTTGGGGCTTCCCGGGAGCGCCCGCGCTGGCTCCGTCCCCTCCTGGGCTGCTTTGTGCAGTGTCTCTGTACATGCCCCAGTGTCTCTATGCATGAGCCTGTGGTCACCACAGAGCCCCAGAGAGCCGCCTCGGTGCTGCCTGCGGGCTCTTGCAAAGTAATTTTTTCTTCAGTGGAGTTTAAAACGGCCTTGCTAAGCAAATAGATTAAAATTATTTTTAAGAGGGGAAGGGGAACAAAAGAATTATTATTTTAAGCTCAAAACCTTTTATTCTCTATATAAGTTTCTGAGCGGCCTCCGAGAGCAGAAGAGCAGATAATAGAGAATATTCTGTGTGACCGGATAGCTTAAGCTTCCAGTTATATCAATGATGATAAACAGAGCAGTGAGAGGACAGCTGCTGAAGATAGTGTCATGGTTCTCAGCTATATAATGATCTAAATGCTGCTGTTTGTTTGCTTGCCCAGCTCTTTTTTTTTGTTACAGCAGGAAAGATATCTGTTTTGTAAGCGCCTTGGCAAAGCTTCAGCAGGTCCAGCTAAACGCAACCCAGGCTTCATCAGCGATTCATTTTTTCTCATTGCTTCCCTGAATTGAAAACACATGTTAAGTAATTCAGTGTCGAGATAGGGTGGCTCTGGTGTTACCTTCTTTGTCTAGTGATTTAATAGTCAGTAGAAGAGACCAAAAAGACAAGCAGAAGGGGCGGATCAGATCCCGTTCAACTCAGGCACACATTTGATTATTGGCACTTTAATATAAGCTTTATGCAGATAAATTTAGTTTTAGCTTTATGTAGGTGTAGTAGATATATTGGAATTTCAAGAAAAAAAAGTGAATTTAATTAAAATACTGATGTTGTGTGCAAGGAGGCAATTCACACAGGATTCAAGATTTTCATTGTTATTTAAGGGTTCAGAAAAACAAGCACATCTTCAATTTCTCTGTGTCTGTCCAAGTCATTGCATTAATAAAGCAGTTTAAGTGACAAGAGAAATGGCAAGTACAAGCATACCAAGATAAGAGAATATTAAGCTAATATCTGTTTTGAGGAAGCTTAATCAAAAGATTTCAGCTGAATAACAGCAGGTCTACATCTATGTACTGTGGACAGAAGATGTCTCGTTGAAATAAATAGAACAGCTCTGCTGGACTGAAGAATCAACTAAACTTGATTTTTAATTCTGGGATGCTTACAGAAGGAATTCTAATGTTAGTCTGTAGGAGGTGAACATTTCATTTTGTAGTCCTGTGTCTTGGGGTAGAGTTGCTTAGAAAGTTGCAGTGCACCTCTGCGGTGCGTAACTTGTCTGAGTTTCAATTCTTGTGATGGTTCAGAACAGCCAGCAAACAGGACGGCTTCATTCTCAGTGCTGAGGCTTGGGCCAGTGGTCTCCACACTGCATCACAGCCAGTGGATCACAGCAAACATCTCTGGAATGACCATTTGCTTCAGATCCATTTGCAAGAAGACAGTGGTCCAGAAACCTTCACTTCCATCTCTATGTCTAAAGATATATTTCAGTCTCAAAATGCACCCAAAATAACCAGTGCTGATTTAGAAAGGGTTTTTATTATTGTTATTGTTGTTATTGTTGTTATTGTTATTGTTATTATTTAATATGGTGTCTGGAATGGGCATTTAGACAGGTTCATTCTTATTACATATGAAAATTTTGTCATTGTACCTGATGAAATCATTTGTAAATTTCTACTAGTTTAGGCATAACCTCACAGTTAGGAGGACTTTTCATCCTTAGCTTTCATCTAGAGCTACATTTTTATGAATATGTTGTAATTCCCATAAAGAGGCTTGAACTGGACCAGATATACAAGTGTAACCATGTCAGCAGTGCTCAACACTGACGTCAGATGCGTTGGCTGGAAGAGTTCTTTAGTGGTATCTCTTCCATTTAGACAATAAGGATCTTTCTGGTAAATTTTATCCTACGCTTCTGCCTTTATTGTCAGAAAATATTTGTAATGGAAGTACTTGGAATTTAAAATTCTTTACTTTTCAAAGTAGGGGGAAAAGTCTAACTCTGTGTTCATTTCCTCCATTATTTTCCCCTGTGGGAGCCTTTTTCTTTTTTATCATCATGCTAAAAGATCATATATGAGTGAGAGCTATGAGAGGAAGAGGAGGTCAAAAGAATTAAAACAAAGGCAGCAGGAATAGGAGCATGAACAGCATGAAACCAAGGTGAAGGCAGTGGCAGTAGCCAGCACTGAGCACTGGTTCAGGGCTATAGTTGGTGAACGTCCGCAGGTTATTTCGGCCACTGTTTGTCCTGTCTGCTGGAGCTTCTCCAAGTTGTTTTCCCTGCTTGCCCAGTGCCACACTCCAAGGAAGAGGGAAATGTGTAGCATTACAGGAGAGAACACAGTTTCTCCAGCACAGTCCTTGATCTGAGGGGAAAAATGGCCTTGCATCAAGACTTGCTTTATTTTACAGGATTTGTATCTTTTACATAAACTGCACAAATCTATCTCATGCTCTTTTAGGCGAATAACTCCGTATCTTTCCTCTTCTTCACGCGCTTCCAGGGCAATCAGGAACACCCCGGCAGCTCCTGCCACCGAGACCCCCCGTGCAGCCCCATCCCGGCATCTCGCTGCTGCCGTCGCGGCCCAGGACGCAGCCGCCGCGGCAGCGCATCCCGCTGCAGCCGAGACCTGCCCCGCGGCCCTCGCTGCCGGGCTCGGCCGGGGTGCCGCTGCTGCCGGGCACAACGGGAGTCATCTTGGAGACCGGCGAGGCGGGGCCTCCCGGCACCGTGGCCATGTCGGGAAGAGGACGGCTCGGGAGCGTGGATGGCCAGGCGGGTCACAGCACCATGCCCTCTGCTGAGGGATATGCTGGAGCACCAGGTAGGAGAGTTAAATTAAGCCACACCTAAGGGTAACTGTGAACGATGTGCCAGGTCCTGCTGGGGGGTGGAACTGAGTTTTGCCGTGCTCTGCCAGTCACCTTTGCCTTTGGTGGACACCCGTTCTAGCTATTTCAGCTTGGAAGAGCCTTATGGCAGAGGTGACCTGCAAATGGCCCTTCGCAGCTGGCTGCAGTAATGGGAACACGTTCGAGGCTGCACAAAGCATGAGCTCAACAGAGGTGATACAAAATCCTTGGTAACTCCAACAGTCTTTGCCACTAGGGAAATTTAAATGGTCTTTTCTTACCATAGTACTCACAGGAAGCCTGGTATGTTGTAATATGAGTTTGGTTTGCTTTGCCATGACCACACTAGTTTTAACACTAATCTGGGCATTTCATTAGAGATGTTGAGTGAGTTCTATCTGGTAAAAAAAGTCTTTTTTTTTAAGAGGTCTGCACTGATATTTTCTCCTAATGTACTCCATTGTGCCCTGTGTAACACCCGCAACTTTTGCTTTGTAGGATATCCAAAGTTATCTCCTCCTACCACAGACTCACAAGGTAAGGTAGTTGTTTTATCACACAGATATCTAATGTTTATTTTGGTCCCTAGAAAATCCTGGCTGAGAGAACAAAGCGTTGTTTTTTGTATTTAGGCTTGGAGAAAAATCTGACACATTTTTGCTAAACCTAAGCATTAAAGCACAGGCTGTGTCTTTTGAAAACATGGTGGGGTTCTTTTTGAGATTTAGAGAAATAGTTTGTTTTGGATTATTGTTACTTAAAACAAAACAAAACAAAACCCCAAGAGATTTGTATTTTGCAAATGTCGAGACACTTTTTTACAATGCAAATATATATATTTCCGATTACTTTAGTATTTCTCTCGTAAAAAAATTAAAAGGCCAAAACTAAGACTGAAGCGCTTTACTACCTGGGCTAATAAGTGACTTGGTCCTGTTTGTGGGAGAATTTCTGGCTTTGTTGGATTTATGGCAGGCAAGGGATATTGACTTCAGTGAAATTGAGAGTGCCCCTGTTGTAAGACACAGTTTAAAGAGATCTAAAATGGAGTTAGTTAGACTGCTTGTTTGATTGTTTGTAATTCTGCTACTATCACAACTCACTCATATACATGAATAATAAACAGCTATAAATCTTGGGTGGGACTAGTTAGCCTTGATAAATAGGTTTATTGGCTGCTACCTGCCTACAACCTCATACCCAAGATATTATCAAACCTTGGGGAATGGTATCCTATATCAAAGTGGATATTTCCACACTCTTCAAAACAGATGATTTCATCTAAATTAGTTTGAGGAATATCGGAAAGAGATGAAAATAAAACAGTAGTACTTTATGACAATCAAAAACTTGCCTTGGGAGTTTGTTTGATGGCCCTAACAATGGCAGAAACAGGTCATGAAGACTGATCTGGGGATTGGCAATAAAATCTGTAAAGATTTTATACTGTAATTCTGATATTTGCACTTACTAATTAAAAATCACAGCCTTAAAGCAGTGTTAGCATTAGAGGGTTGTGGTGGTGAGAACAAGAAACAGTAGGTTAGGCTTCTGGAAAAGGATGAGACATAAAGAAAACATTAATTTATCTTAATGACAACAAAGCCAATATAAATGTCTAGATTTCTGTGATAAGTGTATTTCCTGGGGGATTTATTTTCTTCCTTTTCATGCTATCTATTGCAATTTATAGGCAACACTAATAACTTTATGCTAACGCTGTGTGCAACACAGTAATGCTGTGGGAGGCAGGGTGTGGTGACCAGGGTGTGCTTGTTTTGCTTGGTGGAACTTGTTGTAAGAAATGAGTATCATCTGAGGCCTGCAGTGAGGCAGACTTACCCAAGGAGCCCCTTTTCCTTATCAGGGACACTAAAGACATATATAAATAAGAGATACCTTTTATTTACCTCATAAAGTACCTCCCAAAATGCCTGGCAAACCCAGATGTCTGATACAGTCAAAGAAATGGGAGGTGAGTGTATTCCAGTGGACACCAGCCCTGGCCATTATGTCATGACTACCCGTGAGCAGCAGCTAAAGAGCATTTTGAGGCAGGAACAGCAGCTAATGGCACAGTGAAAATTAACAGTTGAAGACAGGAAGGTTTTTCTCTTACTAGAGGAGGAAATTAGGGTTAGATAAAAGATCAGTGGATTTTTAATGCCAGCTAGAGCAAGACGACAGTTTATAATGTCTTTGTGAGTCTTCACACAGTACATTTTGTGATACTGAATTTATAATTTGAAAGAATATCGGACCTCCTTGTACTGTGCGTCTGAAATAAGAAGTCTCTGTTATTTCATCGGCTTTCTAAATACTGTCTTTCATTTCTGTTTCTGAATAGCTTCTGTTGTGTAAGAGCGTTTCTGAGGAAGAAGTTAAGGGCTCCAGAGCTGTCCTCTGGGATTAAACTAGCCCACTTTAATCCTGTCCTCAAACACTAAGGCCCACTTTGCATATTTTCTATACCAAAGAATATCTTCTAAGCTTTTCAGATTCATTAGCTATCTATTCATGTGCATCTTGCAATCTAACTTCCAGTTGCAGTTAAAAGTTGTGTTTTGCTGCTCTTCACATGAAGAATCTCACTTTACATGAGTAGGAGCCCACTCCTTTTTAGGCCTACTCAGCCTAAAAAGCCTGAGTAGGAGGCAGGTCTTCTTTCAGGTAGGAACAGGCAGGTTATCAGCAGAAGGCCCTGTTAACGAACAGACTCGGCAGAAAAGCAGCGTGACTCCAGGGCTGTAAGTTGACAGCGCGCTGAGCGAGGCAGCGAGTGTCCGTGTGGGACATGGTGGCCGCGGACATGGCGGCCGCGGCAGAGCCTGCCCCGAGCGGGGCCGTGGCCGTGGGCACCGCCCCGCGCTGCCGCCAGCAGGGGCCCCACGTGCCTCTGGAAAACGAGGCCGGCCGCGTCGCGCTCAGGAGTTAGTGATGAAAGAAGGCAGGCAGGGGTAGAAGCATATTGAACTGGTGGTATTCTTCAGCCTTTTCACCCAAAGGTGAAAAAAATATATGTGTTTTTTTTTACTCACAGAAACGGTAAAGCTAGCAAAATGTTTTATTTTAGAATAATAGTTGAATCTTCCATGAGACTTTTGGCTGTGTAGCATTTCCATCATTGGAACTGTGTGTGTCGTTCCCAGCTTTTAAATCCTTTAAAACAGTTCCTCTTGATTTCTGTAACTCCACAAGAGCAGACGCTGAAAGGGGATGTTCCCCAGCCAGCACCTTGCCTGCAGAAGCTGGACTTGGATCTTTGCATGAAGAAATGTGTTTGCAGGTGGGAACACGTATGGGAAGGTGGGTTCACCTCTCTACCAAGCGCTGCAGAAGTGCTGCTGGGAGCTCTTGGAAGGACTTGTGAAAGCTGTAGAAAGGCACCGTTACACCTAGAAACATGGGGATGGGCAAGAAGGTAGATACGTCCTTCCTGCGCCTCCCTCTGGTCCCCACTAAATCAATCCCCCGGGGTATTTAAGAGGTGATTCGTATTTCTCTTTTGGACTAACACGGGTCAAACTGAGCCGATATGGCTGAAGGCCGTCTGCAGAAGGCTGCAGATCTGAAGCCGTTCCAGCTGCGAGCTCTTTGTTCATGTGCTTAGTGCAGGTGCAGGAAAACCTCAGGGAAGGCTGGGCGAGCCAGGGCAGGAGCTGCTCTGTATCCCAGCGCAGAACCAGCCAAGAGGAAGGGCAGCGAAACCTGCGGGGTGAGAGAAACCTTTCTGGGCAAGACAGCAGAACGGCTGCTGAGGCGCCTGTTCAGTCGCTCTGGCTCCCAAGGGGAGCTGAGAAGGCAAAGAGACTATCTGCAAGTTGTGAGGTGTTGGAGGTGGTAGAGCTTTTCAGAAGCCCCTTAGATGGATGTTCCTTTCATTTGTTTTGGTCCTCTTGAATAGTAATTTAGCTCACAGGAGCGCTTGCACATACACTGGGAGGTAGGAACAGTGAAAAGGCTTTTGCCTCTTTTCTGGGCCTGAGACAAATACTAAGGCAATTTCCAAAGAAACACTGAGCAGCTGGCTAGCAGCCCCTGAGGGAAATTATGGTGGTTACCTCATGGTTATGAATGCCTGAAGTTACAGGTATCTTCTCCTCCCACCCTCATCTCCACCTTGACGCCACATCAAGTTAGTCGAAAAAAACACCACTTGTTTATCCATCTTTTAGATGAAGTTTTGTCATTTTTAAATTATATTTATACATGATATAACCTGAATTGGACATTGGTACCACTGTCTGCTCATTGGTGTGTTGGATTAAGGGAAAGCGGAAACCAAACATTTCTTTAAGAAAGTCAGAACAAGAAGCAGGATGGAGAGCCTGGAAAAGACAAGGATTGGAGTTGGAGAATGGGAAGAGCAGCTGGGGACAACTTGAAGTCCTATTTGCCTAATCAAAGCAGCAAGAGCCGACTGCTTCAAGCGGCGTTCCTACCTTGGGAAGAGCATTTGGAGGGAAGGAGGCTAAAGGGAGACTAATGAGTGGTTGGTCACTACAGACTTGCTGTTATATCCATCTGTTAAAAGCAAAACTTGAATACATTTTGTCCTAATAGTCATTCTTTTTGGGTCTGTCCAGCACAAGCAGTTTATAGTCCCTACCTGCTTATTAGCTAAGCACTGAAGTGCCTGGTTAACCTGCTGAAAAAACAAGCAAACAAATAAAATTGAGGACAAATAAAATTCTCCCAAAGGAGAAGAGTAAAAGAGAAAAAAAAGGAAAAAAAAAAAACCCCACATTCTAGTCATGGTTCCTCTTGATTGAAAATTAAAATGCTTTTATTTGTAGCTGTTTTTTTGTACCCTTCATAGCAAAGGTAGGATTTCCTAAGGTGTCTGCAGCTTGTCTTTAAAATGCATTTGAAACATACCTAGAAAAGTTGGCAGGAGCTGTGAACCTTTAGGGCTTCTTTTGCCATTGCAATAATAACCAAGAGCAGAGATCTACTAGGGCTGCTTGGATCCTGAAGAAAGTCCACAGAAATAAAAGGTGTTGAATGCAGCGAGGCTGGTGTTTCCACTTTTAGCATTTAGAAGCCATGTTACCTTTTCCTTAGAGGGAAAGGAAGGCTCTGGTAGGTGGAACTAGAAGCACTGGCTCCTGTGCCAGAGCTGGGAGCCTGTGCCCAAGGGGGGAATTTCACAGCCCTTGGTCTGTTTGTGGTAAGACAGCTGGGACCTGGGCGTATTCTGCTCATTTCAGCACCCCTGAGCGGGGGACGGGGCTAGTCTGAGTGGAGTAGATGTAGGAACAGGGATGCTGGACTACAAACCAGTGGGAAAGGCTGTCCCGTCATCCCGATGTAACCCTAAGTCATGTCCTTGTCCATTCCAGGACCTGCTGCAGCTGTGCCCTCCCTGGTGTCCTTTTCTGCTGGGCTCACACAGAAGCCTTTCTCCAGTGATGTTGGTGTGGTTCATTTTAACAAAGTGCTCGTGAACGACGGCGACTATTACAATCCCAACACAGGTAACAGCCCAAGAGTGGGTCCACTGAGATGCCAGCTGGGCAACAGCATGGCTGACTAATGGTTGGTGCTATCGCAGATCTTGCTGGTGCATTGAACAAAAAAACCCACACAAGTCCCTCTAAACAGGTTCACCTGAGTAAAAGCTTCCTGTGGGTATAGACAGACTTGCACTCAGTGTTAGTCTCTGCGCACCCAGCCAGCAGAGCTGGTTCTGCATTTCACCCCACCTCAGGCCAGTGGGCCCAGCTTGCAGAGACAAGGCCCTGGCTCTTGCTAACCTGCTTCCATGCAACTTGGCCAGCCAGGTGGTCTTGGGGAGGGAGGGAGTGAGCTGGCTGCAGGGGAGCAGCAGGTGGGTGTAGGTACCTCCCTCTGCTCAAGTAGGCTTTAAAACAACAGCAGCAGCTGATCTTTTGTGGGATCTATGCAAGCATGAAATTCTCTGTGCAACAGAAAGAGGTCAATACAGCCTTAAGCCATGCGCCTGTAGTGTGACCACCTGTGCCTATGCCTACACCTAGCTCGTCTCCAGCTTCCTGCTTGTGCCACACACTCCTATATAAACCACCCTTCATGCACCCCCAGACACGTCTGAGCTTTCTTGACCGGGCTACTGTTTAAACCTTAGGGCTGTGTGGGAACTAGCAAAGCTGTCTGTGACTTTGGCATCAGTGTTGTTGCAGTATGAGCAGTTTACACAGCCTGAAATACTGGTGTTGCCAGTTGCTCAGAGCACCCCTTTGCCCTCACGACTGCTGTCAATGGTCAGTGGTGCAATATCAAGTATCGAGTACTTTGTGTATGAAGCAAAGGGTTGTTTTATGCAGATATAATTTGATTTGTTGTCGTTCTTGGAGCAGTGTTGTCTCTCCATTTTGAATGGATCAGAAGAGCTCACCCTCTCCTTCTCTCCCGTGCAGGCATTTTTACATCGCCGTACGAAGGGCGCTACCTGATCACGGCCGTGCTGGCTCCCGAGAGGGACGAGTACGTTGAGGCCGTGCTGTCCGTCTCCAACGCAAGCGTCGCTCAGCTCCACACTGCAGGGTACAGAAGGGAACTGCTGGAGTATCACAAACCCTACTCGGGCAAACGGACATGTGGGGGTCCCGGGACGTTCCACCTTGTTCTTCACCTCAAGGCAGGAGATGAAGTAAACGTTGTTGTGACAGGAGGCAAACTGGCCTACACAGACTCTGATGAAATGTACTCCACTTTTAGTGGAGTTCTCCTTTATCCTTCCATTTCTCATGTCTAGGTGTATCTTCAACAAGAGAGAAGGGTAAGATATTCAGAAGAAATTAAGTGTAATAAAATCCAAAGCTTTAATATATTCAGTTTATATATTTGATTTCAGTGATGGGTTTATGGTCTGCACTGAGGCCTTTTCCTCTTCCCATTTCCAGAAGTAGCAACAAAAGACATGTTTTTGTAGCTAAACTAACCCCTTCCTCAAGTCACTGGTCATCCGTGCAGCAGAACAACTATCAACTATCCCAGTAAATTCTTTTCCAGCGTGCTTTGCTATTCCCTAGCAAACTGGCTTTTGCAGTCTTTTCCCCAGCATGTCATTGCCGGTTTCCCTAGTGTACTAAAGTTTACATTCTCACTGAAGTTTACAACTCCATCATCAACTATTTTCACATTCTCAATAAAGCAGGGATGAGAAAGTAAGCGTTTATCAGATGTAGTTGGTGACTTCTGAGTCCTTATGTCATTTAGTAGGTTGGGTCAAATACATTCACATAAGCAATTCACTCAAGACAGCTGCTACCTATGGCAGGGCAAAGCAAAATGATACTCCTCTACATTTTTCTTTTTCCTCTTAAGGGCCAAATGCCATGTTATGGCATTTATGGGGCAAGATGGGGCCCATATGGGGCTCATTCCAGGCAATTGAAAGCAGCTGTGCAAGAAAAGAGCTTACCCTGACTCAGGTTTGCCCTGGACAGATGTGAGTGTAAGGCACAGTTGCTACTACTGAAAGACTGTGAGTGGTTATTTTCATTTGATGGTATGGTGGAAAGTCAGCCAAATATGTTGCCCTTGATATTCAGGCTTGGTGTTAAAGATTAAATTCAGTTCTAGAACAAGGCAGATCTGAAAAATCTGAACTGTCCATGCTAATCAAAAAAAGCACCTGCAACTTGAAATATATTTTGTATTTTTTAAAGCTTTTTTTAAAGAATCTACAGTTGTTGGTTTTGAAACTTTTACAGTATATGCATTAAAAGGGAAGATCTATTGCATCACCGTAGACAAAGCAGGGGAAAGATGGGTGATGTAGGAAAGCAGACGTTTTAGCCAACACTCTCAAAAGCACAGAACACCCGTCTGTGCCACATCATTTTTAGCAGCCTCCTGTATCACTGCTTGTAAGTGACGTTTGTTTAAACATTCGGTATCCCCTTACATGCATGGAGCAACTTTTGTCTCAAACAGATGTCTTGAACAGATAAATAGCGTCCCACCAAATGTTTCTCATTCCACCACTGGTAGCAAAGCCAACATTTTGGCTCTCTAAATCTGCTAATGTTTCTCCCTTTTGTGGCTGAGAAAGGTCCAGCCATGCTTCACTGAGGACTGTCCCGGTGTCATCTATATATTCTTGTATAAAACTGGTGGGTTTTATAGTCTGTCCATGCTGCAGAGAGTTGTATTTATCTTAGCGGTTTGAAGTCTGTTTTCCTTCTTACAAATCCAGAACAGATGGTTTGTAGCCTCAGAACAAGCAATTCTTTTAGGTGAAGGCAGAACTCCCCATGCTATAAGCAGCAGAATACATTTAGCTCCAGCCTTTCCCATCTGAGGAGGTCAAATAAATACTAACGCCTTTGTTGCGTAGTTTGGAATTGATACTCCCTAATAACTTAGTTTCCAGGCAATGAGATGGGGCCTTCCCACAACAAACTATCACATCCTGAAAGCTGAGCTCCCTCTGAGAAAAGCAGACAGGAAAAGCTTCCTCTGCACAGCGGAGCTCTGAGTCAGCCCCGTGGCAGCTCGCGCTGCGCCGGGGCAGGGAGCACAGGATGTTCCCTTCTTTGGGAGGCCATTTTCGGAGCATTTTCAGAAGATCTCTTTGCACTTGATCTTCAGGAAACTCAGTGATCAGCAAAAGCTAGGACCGCATGTATTTTGCAGCAGGAAGGCTGTCCTACAGGAGCTGCTCCCAGCCGGTAGCCTGAGGCCCACAGCAAACGGGCACCGCACGGGCTCTAAGAGGAGACTCCCCCGTTTCCCTTCCCTGCGGATCTGGCTTGGTCTGTGCTGCAGCTTGAGGGGCTGTCGTACATTTGCGTGTAGACCCTGAGATTCAGAGCTCTCAGTTTTCTTTCACCTCATATTCAGCCCCAGGCCACTGCCTTTGTAGATATTGAAATTAAGAGGATGGGGTAGACTTTCTTCTGCTTTTTTTCTGGAGGAAGTCGGCTATACCAACCATATTTTTTAACATTTTTGTACAGAAATCTGAGAGGTTCTTTCAGGATAGTTTTTGCACTTTTTTCTTTTTTCTTCCTTTTTTTTTTTGCTCAGACTCTCTGCAAGGAAGCTCTGCGCTCTAAGAAGTTGGCTCCAGGCTCCGTATGACTCAAATGTTGTCACATTATTGTTCCCTGTTCTAAAGATGACTCATGGAAACAAACAAAGTGAGATGAGTGCTTAGGGAGACCTAGCTGGCAAAAATGAGTCTTTTTTTCCCCCTCCAAATAAGATATTTTAAGAACCAGTGGTGAGAAGTTTAGTGTTAGAGTTAACAAAAATTGGATCATCTAATTCTTACCTAACTACCCCTTCTAAATCCAGCCCACAGCTTCACACGTCCTGTTCTGTTAATCAGATGGGGCCATTTCTGTTTCTAGAAAGTTTCTCCTTGTACCCAGGATCTGCTGCAGAGGACGTGGAGATTGTTTGAGCTTTTATGACACAACATAACTGGTATTTATTTATACACAGATATAAAGCATTTCCTAAGCTAGATCACCCTGTAGCAGCAAAACCCAGTGTAGGAGGCATATTTAGAGGACGTTTTAGAGCTTTTAGGGATAGCGTGCCATCCCCCATCTCTAGCAGCACAGTGGCTGAATCTTGGACAAGGAAGCACTGTGCTGAACTCCTGCCTTTCCTGCGGGAGACTTGAACCATAATTTCCATTTCTTTGGAAATTTTTGTAACTGAAGTTCCTCCTGATGAAGCTTTTCACCGGAAGTTTCATCAAGCCTAGAAGGCTGCAACTCTGTACCTCCTGAATGCCAAAGGGAGACAGGAGCTGAGTCTCAGTTCCTGATTAAAGAGTGCTCAGATAAAATGTTCATGAAAGCAGCAAGTGGAAGCAGACATGTGCACAAACTCACTAGATATTTGTTCCATGCAAAACAGAACAGCTTCAGAGGAAGAAGTGAGAGCCCTGCTCTAGAGCACCCCTGGAAGGACCTCCGTGTAGCTTAAGTGAGAATCAGCAACAGAACAAAGAAATAGGTGCATTGAAGGGAATGTTTTGCAGTTTGTTTATGAATTTGACTACCACATCCAAGAACATCAACCACCTCAGGTAGGAAGCATCTCCAAACCAAGAATGGCTCAAAAAAGCCCTGCAGGTGGGAGCTCTAAAACAGGTACACTGCATGTTTCATAGATACACTTTGTAGGAAACAGAGTGAGATTTAATTGCCTGACTTGTTAACCAAGGTAGTTTTGCAGTGCACTATATGAGGATTGTGAGATTCTTAGCCAAATCAAATGTACAAAACAGTATCAGTCGTTTCAGGTGCTGCTATTTCAGGTCAAAACAGGAAGGAAGCCGAGCCATGCGAGCCGAAGCTGTGCAGATGTCTGTGCTGGGCAGCACATCTTTAGCACACACAAGTGGGGCTCTCGGGGAGAGCAGAGCGATCCACAGCAGCAGAGTCCCCAAGACAGAACCATCTGTAAAGCAGGTAAATCAAAGACCCAGATCGTTAGCCACAGAGCTTGTGAAGACAAGCCTGCATGCAGGCAGCCAGAGAGATGCTGCTCCAGCTAAACATGAATGAAGTGTCCTAGAGCAGGTAAGGGGAACGGCAAGATCAGGCAGCAGAGAGATGTAAAACCTACAATGTCGCCAGGAAAGCTTGGAGCAAAGCAGCAATGTCAATTTTTACTGCAGAATATATGAACTACCTCATTATTCAAAATTACTATGTAGACTTAAGACATAATGGAGACATTACCCAAGGCATTGAGGATTTCACGTGCTCTTCAGCCACATGTCCTCTCAATATCCCCCTGGTTACTTGCAGCAAGTTTGTGCAATTTAGCTGAGAGGGGCTGTAGTTAACTTGGTGGAGCCATTCAAGAAAAGCACAAATGGTCTAGGAAATGCAGCACGCTGTACACATAGGAAGGCAGTTTGAAACAAAATGCAATAGTATATAAATATATATAACCACACCACCACTACTGCTTACAAAGGCTGAGAACACAAGGAAAAGAGCTCCCCAGGAGCAACCAGGAGATTCAAATCTCTGTTGAATGGTTTCCTCTAGATGCTATATAGAGCAGTTGAAATCAAGTTGTATCTGTTGACAAAATCAGGCTACACTTCTGAGCGCAGTTATGGCTGGGCACACCTCTCACCAACCTCCTCCCCGTTACGCACACGGGCACTGTACGGACACTTGATGGGCAGGTAGGTTCTGGTGCTCTTTGTCCCCAAATACTGGCATGAAGTTTAACTCACCGAGTTATCAGGACTATCTGAGGCTACCTGCTGTCACCACAAGAAAGACTTGCACTTGAGCCAGCATCAAACCTCCTGCAATGTGCCCTGCAGACATTACACAGGAGGCAGCAGAACAGCTCTGCCAACCCTTTGCTGTTTGAGACATTGCAAAGAACATCCTCTAACATGTTACTCCATAAGCAGGTTGTGTCATTTACTAATTTGGCTATCTTTACTGTGGTTAAATGGGAATGGTACTGTAATTTTTCAGCACAGACAAATGCATTTGAGAGTATGCTTTGTGTGTGTGTGTATATACATATTAAATATATATGCATACGCCTCCACATACATAAATATCCAGAAACGTGAGAAAAACTGTTTGAAAACAACTGCAAATATTAATAAAGCCTATTTGTTGTAATGTCTTGATGCTCCTTTGCTTTTCAGGGAACAGAGTAGCACCATAAACTGTTATCTTTCCTTTTCCCACTGTTAGAAACATCAATTTCTGGCTTCTAATCAAGCTTGCACGTGCATTTTAAGTGAGGGAGGAGAGAGAAAGAAAAGGGGGGGATAGGAATGGAAGACAGGAAAAGATTACAAAGAAGCCATAAAGAGCACAGGCTCTCAGGGCTGGGCTGAGATACCCAGGCCACCAGGTCACAGTACTGTGCACAGCACTGATTTTTACAAGGGAGAGACGCTGTCCATTGCACACAGTCATTTTTGCACCTGAATCATCAGCACAGTGACAACGTGGCCCCCCTTCCTACGAACAGGTTGAAGGTCCCCAGCTTGTTTCAGAGCTCAGCACCCCATATTTCCTGCTATTTACTCTTTAAAGCAGAACGTTGCTGTGCAAGGTGAAAGCCTAGGCAAAACTCTCTCTGGCACATTTCCTTGCAAGAAAAGGCTTTTCGCAGCACTCGTGGAGCGGCTCAGTGTTGCCTGCGCTTACCTCAACGCACAGCTGTGCTCAGCTCAGAGCTCTCCCGGTGGAAGCCACTAAGTCCTTGCTTCCATGGAGCTCAACCTCAGGCCCCCACAGCAGAGCTGCCCCAGATGTTTGGCAGGGAGGTCCTCATGTCCCACCCCAGTGTCCCTGTGTCCATAAGAATGCGGAGGGGACAGTTCAGAGCAGGTCCCAGGCACCTCCAGCCATTAGTAAGGGTGCAATTTGCTGCTCTCTGTCTTCTGACTGAGAAGTCCTGCCCCTGCGGCACGGGGCGGCCTGCGCAGCCACCGGGCCCTGCCCAGGCCTCTCTCCCGAGGGGCCAGCGCGGCGCAGGCCCAGCGCCTGGCCCTCCGCTGCGACAGGCGCGGCGGCTCCCCAGCGCTGCAGCGCCGCACACGCAGCCTCCGCTACAGGTGGAGCGACAGGGCACTCGTAAATGCTGCCTTCCATGAAAGAAAATTTCTGCTTCCATCAGACAAAGTGCCCGTTCTGGGAAACTGTGACCCCAGCTGGCTGGAACAGGGGCTACAGGGCAAAGAGGAAAGGACAGACTCCTCCTCTCACACCACAGGAGCTGCCTGTGCTGCTGTCCTCAGAGTGAAAGATGTGGGAGCAAAGTATTGGGACTTCCAGGCAGGCAAGCCCATGGTGAGCTTATCCTCCTCGCGCTCTTCCCCCACCTCATAGCCCACAACCCTTTAGCCCAAGACAGACTTGACTGGGAAGACAAGGCACTCAAGAAGGGAGGTGCTTCATCTAAGGCCCCCAACAAGTGGACCAGGCACCCAGAAGCTTCTGAAGGAGCTTTAGAGAGAGAAATAGTAGAAGCCCTGATCCTCTACACACCTAAGAGTGGCTGCTCCAAGCAGGAAAAGACTACAGCTGGGTTTACTCTTAGGCAAGAGGAGTGCAGGAGAAACAGCAGCCACTCAGACCATGTTTCTGCAATGAGCCTGAACAGTGGGCAGTTATAGGACGTATCACGCATGTTGCTGGCACTGGCCCCGTTGCTCGCTGCCTGAAGAGTGACTTGAGAGACCTGCACGTGAGAAAGGGGTAAAGGCCCTGGGGAAACATGATGCACCTGGACACCTGCAAGGAGAGCAGTGCTAAGAGGTGTGCGTCAGTCCACATCAGTTGATCCCAAGTCTCTTCCTTGTGCTTATCGGGGACTAGGTGAACATATTCAGCAGGACATACCTGCAAGCTTGATTACTTCCCTGAAATGCCTGGACACCACTGCATGCAGCATGGGGAATAAACAGGAGGAAGTGTGGGCTCAGCTCAGGAAGTGTGAGGTAGATAAGTGGATGGGGAGTTGGATTAAGAACTGGCTAAATGGTAGAGCTCAGAGTGGTAGTCAGTGGCGCAGAGTCTAGTTGGAGGCCTGTAGTTAGTGGTGTCCCCAGGGGTCAGTCCTCAGTCCAGTCCTGTTCAACTTATTCATCCGTGACCTGAATGAAGGGCTGGAGTGCTCCCTCAGCAAGTTTGCTGATGATACCAAACTGTGAGGAGTAGTTGATGCCCCAGAGGGCTGAGCTGCCATCCAGAGGGACCTGGACAGACTGGACAACCGGGCGGAGAGAAACCTCATGAAGTTCAACAGGGGCAAATGCAAGGTCTAGCACTTGGGGAGGAATAAGCCCAGGCACCAGTACAGGCTGGGGACTGACCTTCTGGAGAGCAGTTCTGCAGAGAAGGACCTGGGCGTCATGGTGGATGACAAGGCAGCAGTGTGCCCTGGTGGCCAAGAAGGCCAACGGGATCCTGGGGTGCATTAAGAAGAGCGTCTCCAGGAGGTCGAGGGAGGTGATCGTCCCCCTATACACAGCCCTGGTGAGGCCACATACTGGAGACTGTGTCCAGTTCTGGGCTCCCCAGTACAAGAGGGATGTGGAGCTGCTGGAGAGAGTCCAGCGCAGGGCTACAAGGATGATCAGGGACCTAGAACATCTGCCATATGAGCAAAGGCTGAGGGAGCTGGGCCTGTTCAGCCTGGAGAAGAGAAGGTTGATCGGGATCTGATCAGTGTCTATAAATACCTCAAGGGAGGCAGTGAGGAGGATGAGGCTGGCCTCTTTCTAGTGGTAGGCACTGACAAGACTGCAGGAAGCAGCCACAAACTAAAGTACCAGAAGTTCCCCAGGAACTTAAGGAAAACTTTCCTGACAGCGCCCTGGAACAGGCTGCCCAGAGAGGTTGTGGAGTCTCCTTCTCTGGAGACACTGAAAACCCGCTTGGATGCAATCCTGTGCTCTAGGTGTGCAGGAGGTTAGACTGGATGATCTCTAAAGGTCCCTTCCAACCTTAATCATTCTATGATTCTATAAGTCCATTTGTTTATTGCCCTTGTTTATTTTTGAAAAGGTTGTTTTTTTCCTGCAAAATCCCATTTTGTCAGAAAAGTTCGATTTGGGATGAAGAATCGAGATACATTTGGGCCAAACTGCATTTGTGTGCATTGTAGAAAGATGCACAGGGATAATACGCACACACCAAGGCATCCTTAGATTAGGCACTTACAGAAAATTCTGGTGTCAAGCACATCAAGAGTGAAATGTTATCAGAAATCACTTCAAGATGTTCTGATCTGAGCCAGATGAGATGATTTGCTCTTAAAAAAAGAAATATAGTATCACCTGATTGTGGTAAAGACTGGACAACCACGTGCACCTTCACAGCTTGGTTAAGTTGCCACATTGACCATGTATCCCGTACAGGAGAGCGAGAACGGCACAGGAGAAAGTGACAGCTTCCACAGCCATCACCACCAACAAATTAGCACCATCGTGCTGCCTTGAAAGAAGAAGTTAACTTGAATGGAATTGAGATAAAACTATTAGACTTCCAAGCGCAAGGTTTCTTTCAAGATTGATACGTCCTTAATACATATAATTGATATATACTCTATAGATATGTGCGCCTATAACCTTTGGGCATCTGTGAGCTGATCGACCGCTTTGAAGTGACCTCTAGAGACCCTCTAGTCCAAAGCTCAAGCATGGTGAAATGATGCTCTATTATCTAATTTAAGTTTGATTTTTGGTTGTTTGTACACAATATTGGCATTGGCCCACCATGCAAGTCTGGTAAGAGCAACTAATTGTATCAACAGTCCTTAAGAAACAATGGAGTGTGGAAGGAAGCAAGTGTCCCAGTCCTGAGCAAAGCAACTTAGGTTCTGTTTAAAAGATGAATAGAATTTAAACAAACATGTACTTACTATATTAGTAATGAAAAACTCTTAGAGCACAAACTGATGAAAATCTTTAGTTTAAGTTTGTTTATTGTGGTAACATTGTTCTGAACATCAATAAACAGTGCACCAAAGTGTGGGTTACTGCACCCAAGATAGTCCAGTATCAACAGAAACAACTGTATTGGTATGGTCACAGATTTGACAATTTGAAACACACCACCTTATTAGTGATTGGGTTGTCCAACAATCAAGTATTCCACACATTCAACATAAACGTAACTTTTGCTTGGAAATCATTAACACTGTAAAAAAAAAAATCTGTTCAGCAGGATTTAACTTTGGAAACTAAGACTTTTTTTTTTTTTTTTAAGTCAAAGTGACACCTTAAAGGCATCTCAACATCACTTTGCATTTTTGATGTTTTCATTACGAATTTGCACTACAGTCATTTAAAACAACTCTCATTCATCTGAGAGCATTTTCTACATGACTTGTATGAAATATTAACATGAGATCTCCTTTCATCCCTTCTGGCTTTACCATTAGCTGATTCAGAGGTTGCTTCAAAAGTTCCATAATTGAGTTGACACAAGTGTTAAATGTTTCCAGTTGGGAAAAGAAGGAAAAAAAAACTTCTAAAGGAAAAAGGCTTTTAAAGGAATATTCTGATGACAGGAAGCATGAGCCAAGGCTGCACATGCAAGTGGATCCCATTAAGGCTGAAAGCCCAACCTTTCCTGAAGTGCAGGTACAAGTATGGTAGAGCAAAACAGGAAAAAAATCCATGCAGGCATGTTTACCACTTGTATAGAAAAGATTAAATCGCTAACCCTTAACTGCAGAAATGGGCAATGTTTAAGTGACGAACGTGACTTGAACTGCAACGTTCCTCATCTCCCCCAGATCCGTATCACTGCCTCGACTCCCGACGCGGTTCCAGTGCCACGAGGATCTGCATCTTCAACAACACAGTCTCAATGTGTATGCGCCCACAGACAGATACACTTAGAAGTTCCTCTTTCATAGAAAGAATGATTTAGCTTGTGCTAATTCTAAGGAAGGACAGCACAACTTGTTTTTAAACATTACTTTCAGGCCACCTCTCTTGACTACGGTGACAAAGAAAAGCTAACACGTTTTTCTTATCTACCCCACTTCATATTAATGTTGCAGCACAAGCCTGTGGTTTCATTGCAATGAGATGTCTTTTCCAGAGCCCATAAAGTACCTGGGCATCCAAATGACGTAGGTATGCAATGACAGGAACGGTGCTCCCCCAATTCTGTCCCCTTCACAAGAGTTAAATAATCTGAACAAAGCTTCAAATAGAAGTCGTTTCCATATTAAAGACAAAAAAAACCCCATATTTGTATTAGAAAAAAAACTTAATACTTTTGCACTTTATCAAAAAAAAAAAAAAAAAAAAGCTGTTACTGAGAGATTGGAAAAACAAACTTTTTAACTAAGTAGCTTTTTGGAAATCCCTATAATGCAAAAATAAAGAGTTTAGCAGAATGGGGAGCTCTCTACAACCACATAACCCTGTAATCCACACCAGCTTAAACGATATGCATGGTATCACACGATTGCATGTGATATTAACTTTCACACTGTTCAGATACCCAAGTCCCCACTGTAAAATCTCTGGTTTATCTAGAGCAATCTGAAAGAATAAGCAGAATTCAACTTGAGAAAAAAATAATCGAGTTAGGAAAAAGAATGAAGAAAGATGCAGTCAAAACTTGGTAATAACCTGTCCAAAATATTTAAGCCACTTAAAAAGCCCAAATCTCATTGGTTTTCAAAGCTCTTAGTGATCATGAAAACTTCATTTTTTTTTCTATTAAGAACACCTACGGAACACAAAGTAAGAAGAGAAATGAAAAAGCACCCGGAATGACATTTTTAAGCTTCTGCCAGGGCAAAAGAGGACTCTGCGGGAGGACGAGAGGCTCCGAGGGGAGCTGAGTGCTACAAAATGCAGTGAAGGGCTGGGCAGAGGGGCGGCCCAGGCGAGCGCAGCGCCCAGGGCAGGCACGAGGCCGCCCCGCAACTCCCCACAACGCCTGGCACTCAGTTACAGCCAGGGACGTCTCCCACCAACTTTGCCAGTCGCTCACTCCTTGGAAAGGCAGACTCCGCTCACCCCCCATTCCTTACTTCATGCTGCGTGGACACAGCGATGCACTGAAGCTTTGGAACGGAGGAACTAAAACACAACGTCATTAACTGATGATGCAGGAGCGGCCTCTCAAGCAGGTCACTGGCGCTGGCTGCTGGCACCTCGGGGCCACTCAGTAAGGGCTGCTCGGCACCGCAGAGAAGAGCTTCCGCGGGTGGGGAACCGCTCTGGGCGCAGAGGCTGCGGGTGGTGAAGAACAGGCACCACGAGCACCCGCTCCCCCCTGCCCAGCACAGGGATCTGGGCAGCCGCCCCGGCACCGCCTTTGGCGCACGGGTGGCGGGCACTGGGTGCTGCGCAGGGCCGAGCGCCGCCCGCCAGGAGCTGCCCCGAACGGTTTGGGGTGCTGCCCCAAACGGGCTGCGCGGGAGCTGAGCGACAAGGAAGGCTGGGGCGGTCACAGGAAGCCCAAGCCTGAGAGATGTCCGGGATCCTTAAACCCTCCAGGCTGAAAACACAGATTCTCCTCATAGATTTGACCAAAGGAAGTTAAATGTACTTAAAGAGAGGAGCTTTTTGCCTTCCAGTACTTTTAAAGAGAGAAGTACTAGGTGACTTTACAGCTGATAAATACTAGACTTGGAATGCAGTTTGTTTACAGGCTCTGATCTGAACCTGAGGAATGACCAGCATAACACTCACAAATTACTCAAAAGGAGAAAAAAACCCCAAAGCTTCATTCTGCTCTGCAGCATTTAAACCATTCTCATACCTAGAATCTCACTATTGTGCTGCACGTCCTTCCAGCTACTGAAAACCTGCAGTACAGTATTCTGGAAAGACCTGCACTAGATAATTAAAAAATTAAATACATCATTTTCTTAGTATTACAATTCCCTGAATATAATCTGTACATAGTTTTTACTGGCCTACACAGCATACAAGCACAATGCATCTCCGTGCTGAAAAGTAAAATAAAAACGCCAGTTCCCCGACCCTTAAAGAACTCTTCAAGATTTCTCTTGATCAAAATATAACATAAACCAGCGCAGCCCGGGAACAACAGCAGCCACACGAGTACCTGAAGACAACTCTCATTGTAACGAGCGCGGGAAGTGGTCTATGCTCTGCATGTTTAAAAAAGTCAGCAAAGTTTGTCTGAGCATGAACTGTACAAGCGCAGGCTTGGACACGGGGAAAAAGGCATATTTACATTTAAAGAGGAAATTTATGTCTTCAGAGCCTATCAGGCTGTTAATGTTTACACATTTTCTGTATTTGCTGGAGAAAGAGCACATTGTTCTTTGCTTCTGGCTCCTTTATAACGGGCCTAATTATCCATCTGAACATTAGACCGTGTTTTTTATTAATAGGTCTGACATTATATTTGGCAGTTTCTATATCCTTTTTGGCTTCTTCTTAAAAAATATACTATTAAGACTAATACAAAAGTTTATGCTTACAATAAGGTCTGTACTGATGAAAATGCAAAGTCATAGTTTACCTCAGCATTGACTTGTCATGAAACACCAGGGTGCCACTATCAGCGTGGACAGGCTGACCCCCAAGTGCCTCGGAGCAGCAACATAAAGACAAGCGCGTTAGGAAAACAAAACAAAAACCCCACAAAACCACATCAAAAAAAGAATGTTAGCAGCTTTGCATTTTCTTTGTCTCAAACCGACAGTTAAAGTGATTTCTTTACTTAGACTTGTGGTACCCAGTATATAAATTAGCATCTTCATTAAGGAAGCTCTTCACCTCAACAGCTGAGGTTGAATGGCTGACATGAAACCACACTGCTAGGAGAGGGGTGCTTCTCAGACTAGGTCTTCCATGTTCAGGTCAGGAAGAGGTTCTCTCCAGTAGCAGAAGGAGCTGAATTCTGGGCACGGAAAGGCAGAACTCTGTTCTTTATTAAGTAATGGGAACACATGTTCCACAAGCTCACTTAGTCTGAAATACCTATATTAAAAGAGAAAAAAGACCATTATTCCACTGTCTAGTCACTGCTCAGCTGTAGCCAAGAAGAGCTTTAGAAGTCTTGTCCAGAAATCTACAGTCAATAAGGCAGCACTACTGCAAAAGCAATTTTAAATTTTATTTTGCCAATTTACTTTTCTTTTTGAAAAGCTACAGCTAAGTATTCAAAGCAGAAAGTCTATGGCAAATAAAGTATTCAAATTTTGTAATAGAAGATCATAAGAAATTGCCATGGTCACAGTGACAATTATTTTCTAATCTCCCTCCTAAATACTTTTGCTAACTAAAATAACAAACATAATCTTACGAGGATTTGTTTCCCTTGGTCCGTTCCTGGATCAGTTCACCCTTTGGGTTCACAGTAAATATTCTACAGTCTGGAACTCCCACTTGCATGTAGGCAAACACATCCTGCAAAAAGCATGGGCAGAAGAAGAAAATGAGCGAAAGCACAGAAGAAAATCATTAGAAATCATTAGTCTGCTTTGACATTTCCTTACTGAACACAATGTCTTGAAGGAATGAGAAAACCGATATAAAAGCTGATTCACAAGAATACAGCAAAACTGTCCCTTGAAAACCAAACATTCCCTCCCCCACCCCTTCCTTCTCTCTTCCTCTGTTCCCTCACCGAATCCCTTGAGTCTTGTTCCCAAACTTGGTACCACAAACATGCACAAAATCTGTACCACACAATTCCTTGGGACAATACTCACAAGTCTTCTCTTAGGAATATCCCTTCCCACTAACTCAATTACAATAGCACTGAGCTACATAGAAATGAGAATTGTATAATAAAAAAAAAGTACAAAAACAATTCAAATAAATAATCACAGGCTATAAAGCTATCAAACAGGCTGAAAAAGAAGGAGGAAAGGTGTTACATATTGAATAAAATCTTGAGAATATTTTGCACATAAATGGTCGCATTAGCTTTTACTTAGGGTATTCAAACAGACACTATAAGAAAATCCAATTTCTTTTGCATCTCAAGTACTTCATGCATTTTAACCCTTCAGTTAGAAAGGGACAGACTTACATTAGGCCTGTTTCCAAAAGCAGCATAGAAAGGTTGTTTACTGGGAGCAAACAAATTCTTGATATCATTCAAACATTCGATTTTGAACTTTTCAGGCTTCTTTTCTATTACTTCCCTAAAATAAAATGTGAACAGGCACATTCTAAATCACGAATTGATACTGGGCATCCTCCTTCCCCTGTTAATCTGCTATTTGTATCCTCATTGCTTCCTGTTGCTAGTTACAGACATTGGTAAACAGTTTTTCAAGATACAAGAGTCAATGAAATACGCTCTGTTTTCCAACATTGGTGATAAAATAGATGACTAAACAAATTAACAAACATTCCAGGTTCACTAATGTAGTTTGGGAGCAGCTTTGTTGTACATGGCCACCTGAGCCAAGAGTAGCAGACTGGATGGAGCAGGCGGCAGCCTGCTACATCTCCGCCCTGCCCAACTGCCCGTGTAAGGATCATGATGATCACAGGATGACCCTAATGGAAGCTGATGTCATCATCAATCAGTTCGTTTTTGTTTTGCTAAAACCAAATGATCAACTCCCCTACTCCTCAAGCCAGAGAGAGTTTTGCACTACTAGTTCTTCCCATCAGAATTTCCAAAATTGTGTCAAATCATAACTAAGCTCCACCTTGCTCTGCAATATTTATGTATGAAGCACTCCCAAAATTCAAAGATCATTCAGTATTTCCTCAGCTTCTCCCTCAACATACACCACCTTCTGTAGCAGCACTGCACTACAATCTTGCAACTGTATTTTAAAAGAAAAAATGTACCAAAATACCTTTTACTAGTTACTAATAGTCACTAGTGAGGGTTTGAAGGAATTATGAAAATAGACAAAGAGTCTATGACTTTGTATTTTGCAGTCACTTTAAACAAAAGTATACTATGTACGAAACCCAGAAGAAACAGTAGCTTAGAAATGATTCCCGAATGGACATCAAGTCTCATTAGCAAATCTAGCACAGGGGCAGAATGTTACAAGTACCATTCTGCCCATTAGACTGTACCATTAGACTGTACAAAGTCTAATTCAGCATTTTAACAAAATTTAAGCTGCTTCTTTTATTTATTTTTTTGTTGTGTCCCTATCCTGAGGGCAAGGAATGCCACATGCTTACCTATGAAAGGCAGAGAACAAACTGCTGGGGGACAACATGAGAGGACCCCTCGGGAGAATCGTTCCTTTGTCATTCACCCAGTGCAGATACCCTCTGGTCATATCCGCCATCCCAATGGCACGAGCAGAGCAGTACAGAAACTTGTAGCCATTTCTAGAAAAGAAATTCCAATTTAGTTCATATTCCTGCTGAAAATATTCCTTGCCAAGAAAAATACTCTGTTTTGACATTGTGCAGATGCACCCATTTAGGTAATAGCTTGCTGTGGTGAGCTGCACAAGCATATAGAAAAAGATGACTGTTCCTGATTGGAAAGGAGTCATATAGGAGTCTAAATACACGAGTTGAAATGAAGTCCGAGAACTGTAAGCAGGAAAAAGAACAAAGATGATACCAGTAAGATGACACTATTTGATGGACTAGATTGTGCAAAAACAGGGAGTCTAAATCACTTGAGAGGCAAGTGTTTAATCATATTCTTCACACATAATAGTGGATGTCAGAACTGCAGCGCTGGTTGTTCGTTTTCAGGTTGCTGTCAGAATTTGCAGCTCTTACTGAAGGAAGCAAAACAAGGAGCACTCATCAAGTCCCTAAACAAATCCCACAGACTATGTAAGTTCATTTGTTATACAGGACTGTACACAGCTTATACATAGACAAAAGCTTGGAAACTTTACGTACATTTTCAAGCAGATAATTCCAAGACTACCTTTTATGCACCAAAACAGAGAGGAGATCTGAGCTATATTTAACAAATGATTCCAACAGCCAACATAGTTTTCATAAAAGAAAGCCTTCTAAGCATCAAATCAAAAAAAACCCTATCATTTTAATTGGATTACTAAATATTTAAACAGTTGATCGCTTGTTGTTCTCAGCAACAAGTACTAGTTCTGTCATCAAAATGTTTTTGAAAAGAAAGCTTGCTAAGCAAAGGACCAAATCCCAAGCTCGAGGAACAAAATGCATATTTATTCTGCACCAATTTCCGATGGATTAGCATTACAAAGCCAGATGCCCTTGGGCAGGCAGGGCACTCATCAGGGTTCACCATGCTTTGAAAGGAAAGGTGCAGTTCCTGCTGCGGGAAGGGGGTCTCTGCTGCTTCCCACTTACCAGGCCCCAGGCTGAGGGTGTGCATTGACCAGGCCACACCAGGGAAGGTGAAACTGCTGTTTTGCTGGGTTACTTCTCTACTGTTTTACTGAGTTGTGTCATCTTAGCACACCTGAACTGGCACCAAATAAGTAACTGGAAACTGGATTCGGGCCATCCACTTTCCCTCTATGGCAGTGGCAAGTCATAATTAGGCTTGTTTCAGAACACGAAATCATATCCTAAAGCATATTCGCTTGAGTTTGGGTCTGCATACATATTGGACCATATTTCTAGAAGGCTTTATGAGCAACCTGAATTGTTGGCAATAAACATACCCGTAGCAGTTTCAAAAACTCCTATCTTGTGAATGTCAAACAGTCCACGTTCCACCAGTTAGGCTGATGAACTGTAATACACTGAATAATTATCAACAGCAATCCAATTAGCCACTAATTGGCACATTCCAAAACAAAAGAAAAAACAAAACCCAGCTGCTTCATAGGTTGGATACATACTCGTTTATAGAATGATAAAGTTTTGCAATGCCCTGATGAGTCCAGTCCTTGCCAAGCTGTGGGAGGATCTGCCCTAAAGCATCAGACCTAGAAGCAAAACCAGAGAGAGCTGAAATGAAATACACAAGCTTTGTTAAAGGCAACTAGCAAGGAACATAGGATTTACAATGAATATTTACAGAAATATTATTAAAGAAAGCCCCAGATGTTTCCACAGAGAATCAGTAACCAGCCTAGACTGTGCAACCAGTAAGGTCATAGGGCATAACTCAGTTTCCAAGTTAACCTATAGCTGTTAAACCTAGAGAAGTCTCCCCAAAAGGCAAGCACTAGTACAGTAAACATTAACATCTTGCATTATTCTTTTAAAATGCTCTTTCTAGCTTACTGTAAATATGAGTACAAACTAAAATCAAAGCAGCAAGCATCTTTTACAACTTTTATTAAGCATTCTTTTGCATTTTTCTAAATCAAGTTTCTTTGCCTGCTATCAAAAGGAAGAAAAATAATGAAGGAAAATAAGATGTCAAATACAAAGAAAAGGAAAAAAAGGAAAGGGAAAGGAAAACCACAATGGTACTTACTTGGTTATTGTTCCATCAATGTCCGATATGATGATTTTGTCATTCCAGTTCCAGAGATATATTGTTCCCGCACACCGACAGGTCCCTTGATACTGAGTTGTAATACTAAATACCACATCGTTAGGGCCATCTCTGAGCTTCAGCTTTGCCTTTCAAATAAATCAAAATAATTAAAAATATAAATCGCCTTCATTTTAGAATTTCTGACTTGCAGAAGAGCTACAGAAAATGGCTCAAATGTTCTTCCTCAACCACCTCGAATAACTGGTCAAAAAGTGAGTCATGGCCTGCTGTGGAGTCTGGGTTCACACGTTTGCTCTAACTTCCATGCCTGCTTAGAGCAGCACTGACTAGTAATGCCAGAATACATTACAGGATGCAACACAGGATGCCCTACTCTGCCACTTGAATTCTTACTATTAAAGCAGACTTAAGAGTATTAGCAAAGCAGGAGTTGCACAGGGTCAGCACGCACACAAACCAAGCATGCAATTCTATTTCTGGCTTGGTGGGTGTTTTTTCAAAACTCTTTCCTGATAAAGGAGATAACGTATTTAGGCTGCCACAAAACTAATTTGCAAGTTAGACTGAAATGAATAAACTGCACAGCAATGTAGAGCAACATATGTTATTAAGGTATCCGAATTATAGAAGGCCACAACATCACTTTTTGACAGATAGAAGCTTAATTATAGAAATTTGTAAGAAATTATCATTTCTTATTCAAACATAGAATTACGATTCTTAAAAGCAAAAACAAATAGTAAAAAAATAAACAATTCTTCCTTGCAACTGCCCACTCTGGCACCAGAGAAGGAGAATGCTTTAAAGAGACACCCCTCATTTATTGCAATACCAAAAAACTGAACTGCTAACTGACTTTTGCCTTTGTGAAATGTGTTTACGTGTTGCTTAAGAAGAAAAAAATCCAACTTTTGGAATTAAACAGAGAGCAGAATTATGAAACTATGTTCAACTTTGTACCACTTACTATTTGGTCCGAAGACAGTCTGAGTGACTTCTTATAAGATGGAGTGTTCCCATGTGTTGGAAGCTCCACTGGGACAGAATCTATTTTCAGGGATTCTTTCAATTCCTGTGATGTTTCATCACTAGAAGAATCATCCTCCGCAGGTCTAACATTACATCAAACAGAAAAGATGGAAGGTATATTAAACTCTTCTTTAGTGGTTTAACATTTGTATGCTCTTATGCAAGATTGAGAGACTGCGTGAGCTGGGCCTGTTCAGCTTGGAGAAGGGAAGGCCGAGAGGGGATCTGATTAACATGTACAAATACATGAAGGGAGATTGTAGGGAGGAGGGGGCCAACCTTTTCTCTCTGGTGGCCAGTGACAGGACAAGGGGTAATGGGTGCAAGCTGAAACACAGGCAGTTCCATCTCCATGTGAAGAAGAACTTCTTTCCTGTGAGGGTGACAGAGCCCTGGCACAGGCTGCCCAGGGAGGCTGTGGAGTCTCCTTCTCTGGAGGTCTTCCAAACCCGCCTGGATGCCGCCCTGTGCCCCGTGCTCTGGGTGTGCCTGATTGAACAGGAAGGTGGGACTAGATGATCTCTAGAGGTCCCTTCCAACCTTCTGTGAAATTTCTGTGAAATAAAGATTAATTTTTCCTAACATAAAGGACTCCATGTGAGCTTGACAGTTCAAACAAATGAAGTCCACGGTCTAGTGAAAGCCCAGGTAAAGCTAGAACATGCCAAGAAGCAAGTCAGACTTTTTGTGCAAACTGCTACTGGCAGAACTCTAGAGACTAGTACGCGCACTCGAGTTGTATCCGCACAATGGGTTTAGTAGAGACACAAGGGGATACAGAAAAAGCAACAGTATTTTACTTAAAATTAAAAAAAAAAAAAAAAAAAAAAAAACACCCAAGCCAGTTACTACCTAATTTGAACTGGGGGGCTGATATGTTAGTGGAGGAGCTCACATTTCAGGGTTATCACAGACATATTTCCCTGCTAATTATAGAGATTTCATGGTTAAAAGCATATAGTTTCTCTCAAGTAATCAATCACAATATAAACCATTTCTTAAATCTTTAATGCATTGACAACACTCCCAAGTATCCTTGTAAAATCATGGGAGAATCTGACTATGCACAGTTTTGTGCTAGATACTTCTAGTTTTCAGCTACAATCTTGGGCAACTCATGCAGAGTAATTAAAGTCATTTTATTGTTTCAATTACTTCATGTTAAAAAAAATAGCAGATGGTTCAAGTTATTCAAACAATATTAGGATTTTACCAAAAAAAAAAAAGAGAGAGAGAGAGAAAGAAACAATAGCTCAGAAACAGTCCCACTATGTTTAATAAATTACAGAGTAGTGGTTTGCTGCTAAAGGTTACCATATATGTCTTTATTGCTCTGTCAATTAGGTTAAAATTTAAGAAGTAAACACAATAGGATTTAGACAATAATTGTAGTGTACTTGTAAGTTTCTGCACTGTTTACTGTACATTTTTTTCCTGAATTGTTTGCCAAAGACATCTGCTTTCTGTTCAATAGCTCACAGAAAAACATTTCTTCCCACAATAAATTTCTACTTGATTCATTAAAAAAAAAAAAAAAAAAAAAAAAAAGAGCAGAGAGGAAAAAAAAGAGACTATTCAATCCACAAAACAGTGTTCAGACAGGAACACACCTACTATTAACTTGCTCTTTTATAGTTGCTGGCAGCTCATTTGCTCTCTGTGTCTCCGATTTCCCTTCCTTTGCCTCTGGTATCTAAAACAACATGATAATAAAGAACATATTGCCATTTTAACAATCTTTAACTGATCCAAGAAAATCAATAGTTCACATACAATCAAATTGCTATTAGTATAGACTATAGACTATTAAGTGCTCAGAAATGTTTATTCAATTATTTAATAGGAGCATTCTTAGAAAGAAATAATCTATTAAAGCTTTTCATTTTTCCAGGAAACAGAACTTTGCAGGCCAGACATTATGAAGGGCTAGTTTAAGATGACAAACTTGGCATTAAGGGGCTGTCAACTGAACACCTCTGACTTCATAAATTCTAGCTGTCACACTCTACATAGGATTGTTTATTCTTTACAGTAAAGAATAAGCTCACTCAGATGCCCACTCAAGCTTTGGATTAAGTTCAATTTAAAATGGGATACCTGAGTATAATATCAATTACACTGCACAGCACCTCCTTTTCATTCCTAAAACACACTGCAGTGACTGAAGAGTAGCTCTGACCATGCTTATGAATTAGAAGGAAGGATCTTAATAACACTGTGCAATAACTAAACTTGTAAACTGATTCAAAATGCTTTGAATCAGTTTTGTTCGTTTGAACCACCTGGTTAGTGAATAAAGAGTGGTATTTGAGACTTTAAATAAATAAATATAGCTAACTACAACACTGAATAACTTGCAGCTGGCAGGAAGAGACAGAAAGCTACATGAGAAGCATTATAAGGCACTGCAGACCCATTTTCTTTTTCCTCTTTCAAGGGCCAAGTGAACCCAAATCAAAGCAGCCTTCAATTACCTGTTTAGTCATGCTCTCTCTCTTGCGCCAGAACCACCACCTTCCAGACTTCTTTGGCATTTTTTCTTTGACCCAAGACTCAACTGTAGCCTGAAAATATTTAGTTTAATATAGATGTGTTTTTAATTTGCATGGAAAATAAAGGCAGAATTATTCATTATATGCAAAATGTTCAAAAAAAGAAGTCTATTTACCTTGGGCAAACTTTTCTGAAACACCTGCAAACTCAGAATCATTGGAGCAGCCAATGCCCAGTTATAATACCTGTTTTAAAACATGTTATTGATAACACATTAAAAATGTTGAAAAGATGTAAATTAGTGTGCAAAATACCCTTAATGAAAACACGTCTATTTGACGGACAACTAAAGTTTGCTGCAAGCAATTGGTATTATTAGTGGTAAATGCTGCAAAATCTTGCTTCAATCAAACTAAATCTAATGTAGAACTACAGTTTAAAAATCCTTCTCTGTAAGATCAAAAAGCTGTTCCATCAAAAGCCCAAATCACTTAAACAGATTTTCCTTAAAGAGCATTTTGCAAAATCATTATATTATGTAGAGGATTTACCTGTTATAAATCCGTATGACCAGGTTCGGATTGTCTATGAGTCCTGGATTTTCAGCAAATTCATGATAGGTAATAATATGTTCCATGAACTTTTCTGCAATAGAAATAATTTGTTTTAATTAAAAATAATAACTGTGCCCAAGAAGTCTGATTAGCTGGTATCAAGGAAAATATCTTCCCAGTATTCAGAGTTTTTGCTGTTCTTGCATTAGATAAGTTGGGTTCATATGACCTACCTGTTACCTCCTGACACAACGAGTGTCTCACACCACTTATTTGCTTCAACTATCAGAGTAATAAGACGTAAGAGATTAAGAGGAGGTAGGAAATCATTTAGTACCTAGCCTGCACAAAGAGAGCTGTACTTATCTAAGCAAGTTTACTTCAAAATTAATATGGCAACATTAAAAACTCTGCTTGGCAAATATTTATGAATTTTATATCACAAATTATTTTATTCTACTGGTGGATACAGAAAAATCAGTTTGCTAATTCTAAGGTAAATTTTCCTTAGGTGGAACTCAAGAGTATTTAAGTCACTAATTTGTCTGAGCTTCAGTGCCATTTATTCTGAGCTTTTTACATACCTTTAGAAATCTCTCCATTTTCATTGAGACCTCCACAGAGCGACAGAGTGACATCAGGCAAGTCCATAGCAGAATCTGACAGGCACTCTGTGCCACTATCAGCAGCAGCACTTCCCACCGACTGTGGGGACTGGGAACCAGAAAGGGTATCGGACTCCGGCCACTGCCTGAAGCCTGGGTCGGAATCGCTACAGAAAAGAGATCCATGTTTTCCATATGTATCTCACTTAAGAATAAACATATACATTTTATACTGTAGAATGTAGTGTACAATGAATTACTTAAAAAAAAAACCCAGCTTGCTGCAGGATTCAAGTATTACACGATTTTACGACTTAAAAAAAAAAGCCCATATATTTCTTAATACCGTAAGACTGAAAGTATCCAGTTCTCCTCCTCCTAATAGTCATCTAAATTAATTAGATTGCTCTTGTCTGCAACAAAACTGGATTTAAATGGAGGAAAGACCCTCTACATTCTACTGTCCCAGAACAATACCATGCTCCTCAATCATAATCAGAACACTATACAATAAGGATGAAGGAAAGAAGACAGTGCTTTCTGTTTTTAGAATGCAGTGTACTTGAAAAAAACACAAGGCAAAAGACCCTTTTAAATAATAACACCATGCTGTCATTTAAGATTACAGTCAGTTATGAGATTTGGGATAATTAGTAAAAAATTTATTAATCAATCTATAGCAATACATTCAGTAAGAAAATATTTTTTTTACAGTTAATTTCTCCTGTTTCTATCAGTTTTCCCACCCTTTTACATATAAGGTAAAAGTTTACGACTTAATTTTAACTAAACCAATAGAATCTGGACACTTTTCATTTTTACAAAGATCTTCCCAGACAGTTATTCTGCTGGGGAATATTTTCAGAGTATAGAATGTTTTCATTTCATGAAAATATAAAAATGTGAAACATTAGACTTGACTGCCTTACAAGAAAATCTTGAGGACTTTTCTGGTTTTTGTTTGTCTCTTTTGATGTTTAAAAAAAGAAGCTGGAAATGATGTACAGGGTGCGCAAAAAACATCAGTGTGCAAAAAAACAGCAATATGGGAAAAAAAGGATTATATAATAGAAGTATAATTTAAACCTTCCCCTCCCTACATAGAACCAGTAGTTCTATGAAGACAGAAATCTCTCAGTAAGGATCTTCCATATGATATTTAAGTGTATGAACACTTAAATCACACATGTAATAATTTATGAAGTTCAACAGCAATACTAGTCTAAAATCCATAGAATCTCAATTCAGAATTACCTTTTGGGAAAGTAAAGTGCTGCAACTTCAGGCTCCAAGGCCTTTAGGTCATCCAGGTAGATATCATCAGGCCCCTGATGATGACTTCGCTTGTGCACCCCTGTAGATTTTACAAAATTAAGATTACTGGAAGAACCTATCCAGACACATTAAACAGAAATACAATTGTGGAAAACTCAGATTTACTCATAGCACTTATAACTTTCAGAGTTTAACTACAGTTCCAGTCAGGTAATACTTTAAATAGGAAAGCTATAGTTCTATTTTTGCTAGAATTGCTTCAGATTTGGCAGATAACATGACAGGAAGAGACGAACAGTTTTATTATATACCTTTCTTTTTCGAAGGGGAATCAGTTTTTGCTGGTGGCTTTGTTTCTGCTGACGGATCCAACAACAGCCTGGAATGATGATCAGCATCTAATGGTAATGAATCCTGTGGTTCTATGATTGCAGAAGCAAGAGAATCTTTAGCATCCACCTGCTTAAGCAGAGGATGAGTTCTTGGCTGAGGTTTGAGGACTGTGCAGACTGACTCTTTCACCACATGATCATCTTCAACTTCATCAGAGCTGAGGATGACCCTAAAATGAGTCTTCTCTGATGGGGTAATGGTAGCTGTTCTGGGATGCTCCAGTTTTTCTTTCTTGCTTATCTGAAAAACAAAACTCTAGTCAATCCTTTCATTTCTCATATCATTTGGTTTATTCCAATCTAAACATTAAACGTGTACTTATGGCAATTTTGTCAGTTATATTCCTGACAGCAGTCTGAATTAACTGGATAAGTACTTAAAAATGTATTTAAGCAACATAAAATACAGCTCATCTAATTAGTAGTTTACTGAGTTGGAAGCTACATACTAGCTTACAAGTTCAGTCAGGAAAATTGTGCCAGGAAAACTTTGACTTAACCAAATCAGGACAAGAAAAGGTATAAATACCTTTAAATAAATATCAGAGGCTTATGCAATCAGCTGTCCTGTTAAAGATACCAAGTTTTCTTAATCAAGCCTCCTATTTCTCTGGAATGAACTACAACTTTGACTAAAAGAAATAAATGAAATGAAGTGCTACAGTTGCTTTCTTTAGTAACTAACTAAAATTTAAAAGTGACAGATTTTGAGTACTGTTTTCTGGAATAACTTGGCTTTGGAAAACAACAATGCTGACTATCAGTCAGCCACAAGAGGGTGCTCATTTCCCATTCCATGGGAACTGCTACGAGTAACAGCAGCAGATTTCCTGCATCTCCTAGGTCACAGCTTCAGATAAGCAAAAATTCAGTTCCTAGAGTTTCAGACGAAATATAAAGCTTTACCTTGGTTGATTCTGGGAATCCTCCCCATGTCCATTCCATGTGCGATTCAGATCTAAGCAGGCTCTCAGCAGGTTTAACTTCTAGCTCTGAATCACTTTTAGGGCAGACTGGCTCAGAGAAAGGGCTAGCGAAACAAAAAAGAGCTTTAGTGTTTAAAATGCATTTGTTGTGCAGCTAGTGTTGGTAGAGTTCTCTCTGTCTTAACAGAGCTTCAATTATTCAGCAACAGGGCAAGATGCCCAGCTGGGGTTTCAGACGGTGAGAAATTAGGTTAAAACTAAAATCACATTAAGGGACTTACATACTGATCACCCTATACAGATTTTTCCACTATAACCTTAGGGTAGGCATAACTCCCCTCACTCTACCTTCCGTTAGGTAGGTAGGACATGGTTGCCAGCTTGATAGTTTGGTACCTTCAGACTGTACTGAGGCTGTGGTCTCAGAAACAGAGAGATTATGTGCACTTCAGAAAGCATGTTCTGAAGCTTAAAGTCTTCTCTTCTGCTGAGCTACTACCTACATCAGACAAACAGGCACCTATGTACAGAGCAGGAAAAATGCAACAACTGGGTATCGTGCAAGGCTGAGCAGCAACGTTCAGAGACACTGTGAATGCATCTACTATGAGGTGCAGGCACCAGTCACGCTGAAAAGCAGCAAAACTAGATGAGCCAGGGTACTGCGCAGCAGGCTTCGTGGTATGTATATTACACACACGGCATGGGCAAGGGCGTAGTACGAAATCTAGCTAATGCTTTCCAAAGACAGTGCAAAGGCTCAAGTACTAGGTCCCATGGACAGAGCACTTGCTTGCACAGACAGGGAGCGATGCTGGAGTGGCGAAAGGGAAACTCCTGAAGAGCAGGCCTCGAAAAAACTGAGCAAGGGAACGCAAGTAGAAGGGTATAGGCTGTAGAGCTTGAGCATGTAAACAGACATGTCCTGGTCATGGTAATGCAAAATTTATTGGGAGCGTATTATCTGCAATCAGATAAAGAATGTGCTATCAACTGCTACTTTTGTTGGTATCTCTGTTGATATCTGGTAACTACAAAATCACCTGTTGCAAACTGAGATCTGACTTGAGTTCAGGGCCTAGCTTTATCTAAGAGTTATTTGAAGTTACTTTACCTGGCAAATTCTAACTTTCATATTTAATGACAATCACCTTTTATGCGAGGCTGAATCACTGGGACTATATCTCCCTATTTCCCATACCATTTTCAATCTAAGCAAATCAATTGTATTTTGTTTCTTTGATAGTGAATTTGACTAGGAAAAGACACAGATTTTGTTAATACATACAGTATGAACAGAGTAGAAAGTTCACAAAGTTCCAGGTAAGTAGCAAACTCAGGAGTTGAGATGAAGTTAAACATGTCTGACAGTTTCACATAGGAAAAATTGAGCAAAAATGGACTTGAGTAGGTGATCACTCTAATCTTTGTGATGACCTTGCACATACAAAGCTACTTACTTCTCCAGAGGGGACCAGTCTCCATCAGATAAGGGGTAATGATCCTTCGAGTGATAAATCAAAGTGTCTTTCTGTTCTTCCCCCTTTGGTGATGAATTTGAGGATCCTCTGCGGAGATACATGAGACATTACATAAGTCTATCTGCATTGCTAATTCACTTAAATTCAAGACTAAAAAAAAGCATACAAAGAATTCACTGCTTGTGAGGCATCTTCATACAACATAAAACATGCAACAAAACTACTGTTAATATTCAAAATATCGTAGGAGCTCAAAAATCTACAATTCTGACACATAGTGAGTTACTACTAAACTAATAAAACACACTAGCATAAGCAATGTTTGCATCATAAATAACTTCAGAAAGCTATAAAAAGATAAAGTACTTGAATAACTATTCTCCGGAATATTCTCAGTTTTGACTTCCAAGCAAGAGAGCTATAGCACCACAGTGCCCACCGGACAAGGCAGGCAAGCATGGAATTGGAGTGCAAAGAGCAACACAAATTATTATAATGTACTATTATGAAAGAAAAAAAAATCCAACAACAGAATGGTTGCACTGGCCCTCCTTCTTCTTCTACTAATGCTTCTTTTCTCCATCCGCAAGAGAAATTAGATTTTTAACACTACCTATTAATTGCCCATTTAGTTTACACAGCTCTTTATTGCTAAGCATCAGTTGCAGTGATCATACATACACATCTTTCACCTGGAAGACAGTTTACTGAATCTTAATATGGAACATATATATTCCATTCCTTATTTGGTAGCATTGCTCTTCTGAAAATTTGATTAGGCACCAGCAGCAGTGACTTTACATCCTGCATATTTATAAGCCTAACTAAGAGCAATAAAAGTTTCATCTTATTTAAACCGTGTCCAGTGCTAAGTCCAGTCCTTTCCAGAAGGGCCAAACAGCGTTACCAAGCCAAAAGACAATTAGAAAGAGATCCTCGATATTCTGATTTGGGAGGAGGCAAGATGGCAAATACATGGCACTAAAGGGCATTTATTCACTGGGAATTAGTCACCAATTTTGTCAACACAAGGAAAGATATAACCAAATTTCATCTGTCAGTGGGGAAATCTGATCACTAAGGTTAAAATACAGATGCAGTTAAGGACCACTGAAAATATGGGAAAATTAATGCTAGGTAAGTGTGCATGAAATCATAACTTCTACTAATAATTCTAAATAGCTAATAATTCTAATTCTAAATAATTCTAAATACTAATAATTCTAGAATTTTCCACATTCATAAACACTGCTATCACTTCTTCCCATGCTTATCCATTTTATACACACTCTAAGTAAGTACACAACATTTACATAGCTATAAAAGACATTTTTAAAATGCTGTATTAATATTTGGAAAAAGCTTTTCTGAAGGAACAGGAAATAGTCTCTTTCCCCCTTTATAAGAACAGAACTAGTTAAGAAATTATGTTTATGCCTGTGGCTGAAATTCTGATCTTCCCAAGAAGAACATTAATTTCCCTTTTCCTTTCTGAAGCTACAAAATCTGAGGCTATGTCTAGTAACAGTGTGTGTATATATGCACATATCTCGGTTGCCTTAAAATCTTCCTTTTGCATCACAATTCTCTTCTTCTATTGAGAATGCATTTCTACTACAGTTACTGCTTTAAAAAAAATAAAAAGCCTTCTCTTTTTTTTCTAAAGTATACGAACAATAAGACCAGGGCAGCCTTTATCTGTTATCAGCATGACATTTCTGAAGTGTTAATACAGTTGTAATAATTTATTTAATTAAGAATCTAAAAACTAGTCTTGGGTCGTATCTTCTTTCTGCTTGCATTTGAGGAAATTTTTCTTGGCTTCACTATGACAAGACATCCACAAGTTTACATAGAGGAGAGGTACAAGTCACTCTTCAAAGTTTCAGCAACACCAGGGAAAGTAGTCAGCAAATCTCTGTGACTTCACAAATATCTAATAGTTTACCTTAGTGGCTGAGCACCTTTCTCATCATCTGAGCTTATTTCCATTTCAAAAATCTCTTCTGTTCCAGCAGAAGAGATTTGATCTTCCTTCCTGCTATCTTGTTTGTATTTCTTTCTTCTTCTTTTTTTCTTTTTCACAGAACCTGAAGTGAATACAGTCTCTGCTTCCATAGCATGTGGAACTTCGGAGTTCAGACAAGTCCTCTCACTTTCACCCGATTTCAAATGATTGTCACTCTCCTTAAAGAACTGGTCTTCAGTGGGTATTGGAGAAGTTGCCAAATATGCAGGAACTTTTTCCTAAACAGGAAAGAAGTAAATAAAAAATAGACTAATTCATTATGTACATACGGGGTGGCCTATGGGTTAATCTTTTCAACTACATTTATATGAGACTGTTCCAAGGCCCAGTCCTATAAGAGACTGATGTAGAGAATGGAACCAAAGCAGCGATAGGAAAAGTACAGAGGAACTAATTGGTTTATATTAATAAAATTTCAAGGAAACATACACATTAGATCATCACAGCAAAGCTTAAATACCCATCCAGTTGAATGGTTTTGAAATTATCTATCCCTCAGCACACCAGACTCATTAAATTCACTGCTTTTTATTTGTTTTGAATCACAGACTCACAGAAAAGCCTAGACTGAAAGGGAAATCATCTGGTTCAAGCTGATGTTGAAAGCAGGGCCTTAGATTAGATTACCCAGAGCCCTGTAAAGCTTAGTCTTGAATTTTTATAGTGAGGTAGATTCTACCACTTCCCTGAGCAAACTATTCCAGTGCTTATTTGATCTCATGGTGTTTTTTTTTTTCTCTTATAAGCAGATGGGATTCTCTCCTTGTGCCTGCTGCCTCTTCTCCCTAATATTTTTTTAGGTATTGCAAGACATCAGGCTGATCACCCTTGAGCCCTCTCTGAACAAACTAGCAACCTTTTTTCCCAAGCTGTCTTCTCCAACACTGATCATCTTGGTGGCCCTTCACTGAAATCCCTCCAGTGTGGGAGACCAGAACTGTGTACCATGTTCCAGGTGTGGCCCAACAAGTGCTGGGTTTCCTGGGATAACCATCTCTCTGCAGGGGATCCTGCATCCTGTTGCTGCTGATGCAGTCCAGGATACATATGCCTGCACTGGTGCTGGGTCCCCTTTAGCTTGCTGCGCCCCAGGACCTTCCTCCATGGCCTTTTCTGTAGACCTTCAGTAAATATAGGATGCACTTACTCTGCAGACACTAAATTCAGGAAGATTAGCTACTGCAGCAGTCTGGAATGACACAATGATCAGGAATTGCCAAAGCACTAATACTACTTTTGATGTATTCAAATCCTGAATTGTTATTCATTTTATATTAAATTCAACTGTTCAATGACATTTAAAGCTAAAGATCAATTTCTGCTCCACTCTCTAGGAGATGGAGAAAATTGGAGAAAGAGGAGCAGAACTTTATATAGTACTGTAGACAAAAATTTTCCAGAGTGAAAAAACTCAAAAAAAATGATTGCACCTAAGTTCCTCCAAAGTGAACATTCTATACAATTAGTGATAATCTAGAAGATGACAAAATGCAAAAAACAGAAGTAAATCCAAAAGAAATTTACTGAAAAAGGCTGCAAAGTCACATTATAAAGTCATATGAAAATAGCCCTGAAAGTATAATGCAAAGTAGCATGTGAAAGAGACGGAAATACCCAAGAAAGCTTCACATACATTTTCAGAACAAGGTATCACATAAAAGGAAATCTTCTTGCTACTGGCCTGATTTGCATAATTGAGGTTTGCAGCGTCAAGACCTGCAAACAGCAAAGCCAGGCCACTTAAACGCTTTCTGAACAACTTAGGACTATGAGGACAGCTTTAGTATCTATAATTTAAGCATGATTTCAAGAACCGACCACAAGGATACACTTGAGCAGAGGCAGAAAAATAGAGTGAAAAACCTCCAGTGGGGACTAAATGCCAACTCTATCTTCGGCTCTGGAGCTAATTCATTTTATACTTTTAGTATGAGCTATCAGCTTTCTAGAGCACATTATACATAGATAAGGAGGTCTTGGTAGAAATTAAAATATATAAAAGCAAGTGCAATCTTTAAAACTTTGTACAGGGACAAAAGTAATGGTAAGAATCACCTTTGTTTTTAAAAGGTAAATAATAATAAAAAAGACCCCCTCATAATCGTAAAACCAGTCAGCTCTCAACTGTGACTGACAGGGTCTGCATCTACAAAGAATTGCTTTCAGTTTTCATTTTACTCATGATGTATGCTAAAACATATCCAAGTCTTCTCTCTCTCTCACGTGTTATGATTTCTCTCATGAAGGTCATTATCATTTATGGTACTTGTCTTCAGGTTTTTTTTGTTCCTTTCAGTTTAAATGATAACTGCTTATAAAATGAGTGCTTCCTCCCTTCCCCCACAGCAGACTACAGTAAACAAGTAGTGCCATACCCAGAAAAGGTCTAAAAGGTCTATTGAGCCGATTTCCTGTAATGCTTCCTAATAGCACAAGAGAATTCATGCTGCATCCTTTCCCTCATTGAGGCAAGATATTTTACCTCTCTTCTAACTATTTTCATTCAAGCCTTTTGGAACTTTCTGTTTAAAACTTCATTTTTATCTTGCTGAAAAAACGCCTAGAGATTCAAAGGTCATCAAAAACAAATATCGCAATTACATAGGTCCCAGGAAACCAGATTAAGAAATTAATATTTCCTTCTTTGAGGCCCATTAGCTTCAAGTCATAAGAGGTCAAGATTACTTTTCGGTATTTTACAAGTAGTATTTTGAAGTTTGAGAAGCTATTGTTCACTAGTGAAACACTGACTAGCTGACAGAGAAAAATTGTACCAAAAATTATATATAAAAAAATGCAAAATTAAATGGACTTGACTTTGTAAGTTATAAGAACTTATGATAAAAGGTTATTGTAAGACATTGCAATACGTATAATTGCAGTCAACAAGAATGAGTATATTAAAGCAAAGTAAAATAAAAATTCAGTAAGTCCTTCAAATAATGTTCTAATAGGATGGTTCACTATCACCAACAACAATATTCTGCAGAGTACCAAGCACTTTAGCAGGGTATGAAAGCAATGCAGGATTCTGTTGCAGAAAACCTTGCTCTCAAAAAAGTTTTAATACTGGCATTATGATAAGCATCTTTAAACATTTTAAACACCTTTTCTCTCAAGACAGCACTACAGTTATTATGAAGTAGAAAATCCTTACATTTTCCTCTTCTGTTTCTTGTACAAAGAAAGCTTCTCCATTGTCACCAAGTTTCATATGAAGATCAACAGCATCACCGTTAATTTCTATATCAATCTGTTGAAAGAAACAATTTAAAGTAAATAACTTGTATGAGGGGAAAGTACCGACTGTGAGCCCTAGTTATAGAATCTCAGAATCATTATGGTTGGAAGAGACCTTCAAGATCATAAAGTCCAACTATAAACCCATCACCATCATGCTTCAATTATAATCTTTATTCCATTGTATATTCATCACTCCTCCTTTCCCTGCTGCTTTTTGGCAAAAAGTCTGTTACAGCAGCTTTTATTTTACTGCCCCCAAGAAAGAATCAGGCTCTAAGGAGACATTCTGGGCTTAACACCTATTAAAAAAAAAAAAACCTGCAGGACAGCTGAAGGCTGAATCTTGCTCAATTACTCTGGTTATTTAAAAGCCTAAATACTAATCACTGACCTAGTCTTTCTTCGGGAGAAAACTGGATGAAAAGTCCATTTTTCTGCAGTATGTTTTTGTACAGCTCTTAAACTTCCAAAGGAAGTTCTGTTTTGGACTCCAAAATTCTCTCTCCTCACAGCTTATATGAGAAGCTGTTTTGCACTTTATGAGTCTCCTAACTGGATAAATGCAGAGTGCAGAAGAAAGGAAAGGGATGCAGTGATGTTCAAAACTCTGTTTCTACCCACTTCCTGAACTTACCACTTTTTCCTTTGAGCGTAAGACCCCAAGCTTCCCAAAGCGGACATGGAAAGGAGAACACTGGAAGGTACCATCCTGCTGCCGGACCACAATGACATCGATGCATCCCGAAAGGGTGGCCTGATTGATGCCTTTGTACAGCTCCTTCACAGTAACCAGCACCTGACCTGCAAGCTGCCCCACGTAATTCATAGTCTGAGACTGTGGGAGAGAAAGGAAAAAGAAAAATTAGAAAAGAAATGTGAGTTTGTATGCAAGCAAGAATATAAAGGATGCAATTTTTAAATCCCAAAGGCCTAGATTCAAGTGATGTTTAATTCCTCAGGTAGCTGAAAGGACCAATTCATTTTCTGAACACTGCCTATTATTTAGTATAACTGATCTTCTGTTGGCAATGAAGGTACCTGTACAGCAGTATGAAAAAAGAATAAATCTAAATATCAGGAAATGTTTCTCTAGAATTTCTTTACATATAACTCTTCTTTTACAGCTCTAATTTAAAATAGCGAAATAAAATAGCGAAAGGTTTAACAGGAGACACAAGCTGCCCAGATGAGCGAGAGATCATGTGAAGGAAAACAAACAAACAAAACAACATATGGAAGAAATCCATGCTTTGGCTTTTCAAGTAAAGCAAACCACCACTGAATGTATTTCAACAAGTACTGAAAACCAGTTGCAACATAAAATTATGAACTTGTCAAAGCCTTCTTGAAAAGCACTGCCACCCATCTCTGGTAGTTAAAACTCAGACAAGCAAGAGTTCTATCTGCAGTAGAAGATGGCAGATAATCAAAGTTACTGGGACTCTTCATTAGATTTAAAGTAAAATTACAATAGGTATCATCTATAGTTACACTGTGCACATCCTCAATAAGCTGTATTCTCATATTTCAAACAGCTGCTAAAGTGCAGCCTGCTCACAGAAACCAGAGTGAAACCTGCAGAACCAGGACCTTGCGGAAGCCAGCAGTGAACGGTGTGAGCCGACAGCCAATCACCACTGCTCCTTCTACAGAAACGACAACGAAAAAAATAGCACGACTTTTCAATACCACATTTTCATATGTGAAAAGGAAGTCCTAGTCAAGCATACTCACTCATGTGATGCATTATTTTAAATGTAAAGAACTATCTTACCCACTATCTACTTTCCACAGGTTTCACAAAGTTTCAGTAAAGTGAAAACAAATTTTTACAGTTTCTGCTGTTGTTCATACTCTATCAGCAGAAAAATCAACCAGAACAACAGGAATCCAGGTGAAGAAGTCCATATTAGATGAGAGGGTAGAGAATTCAAGAGAAGGAAGATTATGCTATAGTCACACACTGGAACTGAGCGAGAAATGCAAAGATAAAGAACCCACACAAGAGCTTCCTGAATACTCTGCCTAAACCATTAAAATACTAGACTGGCATTCTGAATGACTTAGTCATTTCACACTAAGAATAGTGTGAACTGTGACTGACAAGAACAGACAAAGACAAAAGATTTCTCAAAACATCTGTGCTTTAAAAGAAAGTGGAAGGAAACCAGGGAAGGTGCTCTAACGGGAAGTACCCTGGCATGCTGAAGGTGCAGCCCTCCCTCCTGCTATGGTCCCATCAAAAGCCTCCTTCCCAATGTACTCCAGCAACTCCACACCTCTGAAGTTCAGGATATTATCTGCAAGAATGATGAGCCACTGCAGTCAAGCAAAATAACTAACACTGAACTTTTACCTGGTTTTAAATAGTAAAAAATTTATTTTAGTATAATACTTCTACAAATAAGCTTACATACTAGTAAGTTTATTACTAGTATATTTCTATTGTACTCTGTATACTAGTACAATATACTAGTTTATTTCTATTGTACTCTAAAGAGTGTTTCAAATTCGATGGAAGGCTGATTTCATTATCCAGGTCCCCACACCGTTTTTTTCAGGTGAGCCTTCAAAGCACAGAAGGCACTGCATTCGTTCATTCAGGAGTTTGGGTTTTGTAGCATCTAACGGTGACAATGTAATTGTAAACACGCAGGAGATTAAGAGCAGTTTTCAGAGATTTGGGCCAGCTCTGCAAGTAACTTCAAGCTTCTCAAGCTTACTATATAATACCCAATCATAATTGGATTTTGAAAAAAAAAGAAAGGTCCCCCCTCACCACAACATTTTAAAGGTAAGATATGGGCTTGCCTATTTTTAAGCTATTCAGAGAACTACTATGCTAGTTAACACATTGGAGATTTTTTCTGCAAGAGCTTTGCTACTGGTTGATGAAAAAAAAAAGGCACAGGCTATCAAAGAGCAACAAATTAGATCAGCTGAACAGATTCCCTATCAACACTGATTGGCAGGTAATAAAATTAGGTTTAATCTCTAAGCAGTTTCATGCACAACTACAAAGTTGACTGCTGGCCAACAGAGACGTTTTGAGTAGAAACAGTGGCGCGCTCCTGACAAAAAGCAGAGGTCCCACTTCACCCCTTCATCCTCACACTCCTTTAATGAACTGGTTTTAGTTCACTGGTACAGCTGGCAGAAGCTTGCCCAGGGTTTTGTAGTAAATAAGATCAGTTCACAAAGATGAACATGTCGAACATCAGATAGCTGAAAGAAAAAGCTGTAGCAGGGAACGAACACCCTCATTTTGACAAGTGAGCTATTATTTTCTGCATCACATGGACTTGTAATGCAAGACAGAAAAGCAACAGTATCACTGTTTTACAGTTTAAACAATTACTCCTCTTGTACACTGACATATTGATTTACATTAAAAAGTTGGTTTCAAAAACCAAGAAGACTAAAATTGTTAGAAGAAACACTGGCACACTCAGAAGTAGGAATTCTTAAGGAAATTTCTGTTCTTATTTCACTTCAGTTTACAGGACTAGAAAAAGTGAACATTAGCAAGACATTTCATCATTTGAGTAGCAAGTATTTAAGAGATCAGAATATGACACCATCAGCTAAGAACTGAACTCAGTTGATAAATACCTTACATTTCCTCACAGACATGGTAACTGACCTTTCCTGACCACAGCAAACGACCCAAAACACTCACAGGACTCAAAATATTAATCTGGTGTGTGCGTGTGTGTACTCTTCCTGTAAGAAAAGTTATTTCTTTACTAGAGCTCAATTATATTTGTCTAGTTCACAGCAAAACCACTTTTATAATTGTACACAAATAATATAACCTCTGTGTAGTAAAAATTATGGACCTTTGACCTATTACGTATCAAAACCAAGACTTTTCACAGCTAACATTGTCTTGTACATTGTCAGTAAATAAAATTCCAAATGAGACATTAATTTATATTATTGTCTACCAAGTAGACAATAATTTTATTTTTAGCTTTTATTTTTTGTTGTACTTGGTTGTATACTTTTGTTGTATTTAGTTTTTATTTTTATTTTTTGTTGTACTATTAATTTATAGCGGCCTTCGATATAAAGGTTCCGTTTGTGTGATAAACATTTGCTATGTAAGAAAGTCCAAAGATCTGCAAGCAAATGAAGCAAATGGTTGATTAAAAATATCAATATATTTTTGAGAAAGACAAGATGTTACATTCAACTCAAACATCAAAAGAAACGCAGCTAGGAGATTTTAAAGTTCAGATTTTGCTTTAAGTTTTATTGCAAATTTTTCAAAAGCTTAAGTGAGCAGTGCTTAATTTGTCTATAGATAGCAGCAATGTAACATATCATTGTGTTAACTCTTGCAGATGTGATAGAAAAACCTCACATCACACATTAAATAGCAAAGAAAAAAAAAACTAGAAAAAATTCCCTTCATAACCCTCTACTAGGTCCTAAAAACAGTTTCCAGTTCTGCAATTCAGTTCTGCTCAAGTCTGATGGAAAAGACCAGTTAAGCCAATGCTATTTGGCCTTTACATTTCATTTATTTTGATACTCAGAGCATACACATTGCCTGATGCAGTCAAATTTCAGAATTCTGGGTAGAAGCTGAAGTTAACTCGGTACTATTTATTCTTCTTGGACAACAAATCAAAAGGCCAAGCAATAGCTAAGAAAACACAGTGCCCCAAAAGGTTTGGGCCTTGTAATGCACTAGAGAGATTGATTTTTAATGTTTAAGCAATACTTTCCTGTTTACAAGATGAAATATTAATACAAGATAAATGCCACTGTAAGTGGGAAGGAGGAAAACGCATGTAAAGAAAGATTCTTTTCTGGCAAGAAGCCATTACATAGCAAAAGACAGAAAGTGATAACTTGTTTTATTTCCTTGAGAATATAAAAATAAATACAGAATAAGGAAAAACATGCTTACTTTAGCATTCAAAGCAAAAGTAAAATCGTGTGTCTTCACCTATAAAATACTCAAATCAGTCTAAAAAACTTGTGTATTGGTTGATTCCTCATGCCACCAGATGAGGAACAGACTTTCAGAAGCAACAATTAAACAGTACTACAGCTCAGATTAAGTGTATAGCATTCTACACAACAGGTAAATTAAATTTTCAAAACTAGGCACTCATGCTCATGTTTGCATACCTTGAGACAGAGGTTTTGTAGACAGATTTTATCCAAGTAATACCAAGCAAAGACATTACTTTCTGCCACTACAAAACTGAGGTGTTTTCCTGAATCATTTATTTTATGTTGTTTGGGACTACGCAGATACACAACAGCTAAAAGGCTGCCCACAAGCTTTAATTTTCTGTGCATTTGGATCACTGCTTTAGTAAAAATAACTATTTTCTTTTTTTCATTCTAAAAGCCGACATGAGAGAGGTGAACCCTTCTAACTTCATCTAGCTTCCAGTAATTTACAGCAGTGCCTCACACTGATCACTGCAAATGCCTGGCTCATCAATATTAGAAAAAGGTGCCCATTATCAGGGCCAAGCTAGCAAATGTTTTTGCACTACAGTGAAACAGTTTTAGTCAGCATGAATTTCAACCATCACTGTGAAAAAAAAAATTAAACATATATCTGAGCTTAAAACAGAGTAGTAATATATTCATTTCAATCTAAATTCTATTTAGAATATTAAAACCACATAATGTAAACGGTGAGGTTACATTTGTTTTGAGAGATCAAGACAAAACAAAAATCAAGTATGGCCATGAACTTCCTCAATTTATCTTTTCTTGCCTATATTTGCATGTGTATGTATTTATGAGAAAAGAAGTTTACTTAAGCAGAAGATTTCGCACTGGAGGAATACTAGAGGGGAAAAAAAATAATATGTATAAGACAAGACCACTGTAGCACCAGATCTACTTTTCAAAAACAATCAAAACCAACCAGCCAAACTCCTCCAGAGAGATCTTTCCTCTCTAGTAAAGATTCAGGTGTGGTTTGAGATTGCTCCTAGCACTCTACATAGCAGTCAAAAACAAAAATGGGAAATGAAGCAAGTCTGCTAAACACCTAATTAAAGTTTTCCACATAGTATTAAGCCTAGGCAATAGATGGTTAGCTATTTTAATGATAACTTCAATGAATGATATACCCATACTTAGCAATAAACACACCAAACTCACCAAGATTCCAGAAGGAACTCTTTCATGAGCAGCAACAACACTTCCAGGGAAGTCATCCTCAAAAACATGCTTCTCTGAGAAATGCATCTCAAACCCCAGGAAACTATCTTTCCATAGTACAAGTATATAAACGGCCTACAGTCATAACATAACGTCGTATCAGCATTTCCTTTCTTTCCATAGAAGCAGAATTATGTAAATCTTCTGGTCTGTAGCCTCAGAGGGTAATGTTCAGTATGCTCTCCCACACGGGGTTATGATGAAAAAGGAAGTGCTTCTTTAAGAAAACTCACATAGAAACTCCCTCACCAATAGGCTTTGCTTGAAAGGCCACAGCCCCGTTGCACTCTCCCCAGATAAGCAACAACATGGACAGACTTCACCATATGTTTGCACTGATAGGTATTTATCTTGTATATACACGAAGTCACGTGACTTTGGGGGAAGCTTCCACGGAAAGAAACAGGGATTTAGTTAATGATTCTTAAGCCGTGTCTACATTAGCTCACGGAGACTTTCTGTGCCCCTGTTACAACTCCTCCACCTGCAGCAGCCTGGGAAGCTCCTGTCCGGCACACACAAGGGAGAAACGTCGGCAGCCGCTCCGTGCTTCCTCCTGCTCTACTGCTGTTTCCCTGTGCTAGCTCTGCAAATTTTACAGGACAAACCTCATGACTGCTCAAGGTTTGTGAAACTGGCACTGCATTGTATTTTAAACTGTCACAGTGCTATTTTAAAAGTGAAAGGTGATAATTATTCTGGTGCAGAGTTCATATTAAAAACACACGAAAAGAGGTATATCCAAATGTCAAATTTTCCTGTGGAAATCTTCCTACTTTCTTGAGATCATATTGTTAATGCAGTTCAATTTGGGTGTGCAAACAATGCACAGGAGTTTACTATATATGTAGCTCCATGACTGAAAAAAAAATCTAAATAAAAAAATAATAAATTTAACCTAAGGAAAATTAAAATATCATTACTTTTCTAAATAATATGTTGGTATGTAAAATAACTGAGGAAGCATAGTATTATAGAGAAATAGTTCTACCTTTGAAATCTAGGAAAGGGAGATACATTCACTGAGGAAATACTACATTTCCTCAAAGGAGACAGTTCTTTCATTTGCTTAACCACAGGCGTCTTCCCCTCTCCCCATGTTACTTTGTGTCGCCATAGAAGTTGGCAAAGATCTGATTGCTACACTAGAAACCAGAACAGACAGTGTAGGATTCTGCCCTTCACTGCCCTCCCTGGCGACGTTTGCTTAATTGACACTTTCAAATCTCATGCAGGGATAATGAATCACTAGCTGGATGCAACCAAATGGCTCGTGGATTTCTAAAATAATGCAAGGACTACACCCAAAGCCAAAATTAAAGCAGCCTTCATGACAAACTCCCAAAATGAGTGTTGGAATTGCCACGTCCACAGTAAGGTTGCAATAAACTGCTACTATTACTGGGAGCTTTCTACACAGCTTGAACAACATTACATTTAATATGGCAGTTCCCTTGGAAAAGCTATTGGTTACATTAGCACAGATGTGACACAGATGTGTTCATGAGGTAAGAAGAATAATTTCAACACTCAGTTTTCCTTTGTTTGTTCACATTATTCTTCTCTCTATCCTGTGTGTTCCATTAAGATACGGGAAGAAGGAAAGTTTCTAAACAGAGTGAAAATCAGCTTTGTAAGATACCGATCCTTTTCAAACACTTTTGACTTAGGTTTATGACACTGTTGGGTACAGTCTTCTGTCATATCTATTGTATTCTAAAATTGTTCAGTATTTCAAATCGACATTAATTCTTTCACAGTTTCTAAAAATGCTTTTGAAGACAGTCTTTCTGGAGCACAAGCAGAACTACAGTAAGAATATTAATTTTTCAGCACCAACAGTAAAATAAGATGTAGACGGGTAGTAAGTTCTGCACACCTAATAAACCTTCTAGGCTTTTATTTCTCAACATTAATAAGCAAAATGTAATCCTCCTATCCCAATAAGTTTTCAAGTACTATGTTATTTATTTACGAGATACAAAAGAAAATTAGCTTCAGTTTGCAAAAGAAAATATCCCAAATTTAAGTAGTATTAGAAGTAATACTTTCCATGCAACTTAGTCCAGCTCTTTGATGTGAGCAGAATTTACTGTGGTTTAGTCCCAGAAAGCACCAGTTTCTTCCTTAGCATCAAGGAAGGGAATGTGGCTGACAGATCAGTCAATGTCCTATACTGTTCATTGCTCTAAGAATATCTTATCTCACTACGCATTAGTCAAAATCCCCGATAAAAAGTATGATTTCATTTTTAGACGGTACTTTTCTATGGTAGCCTTCACAATATACAGGAATGCATTCATTTGTTTTTACAGCATCCAAGAGAAGTGCAGTATTACGTCTTTCACCTTCACAATGGAATAAAGAACGCTGTAGATTAAGAATTTAAAAATATATATTTTATTTTAGCACAGTTAAACTTGGCCTTCCAGAGTTCCCTTGTATTTTTTGCCTATTTATGTATTCAAAGAATTGTGTCCATGGGCTTTACTTGCAGCTGCAAATCAGATTTGCATACCATACCTGATCACACACACACACACACAAAGAAAAAGTCTGATTGCCTGTGAACATTTCACTTAAGTGATTTGATTGTACTGCACAGCCGTATAGCTGCACTGCAGCGGCCCCTTATCATGCAAGTCAAAACAGACAACTGGTTCAGGTTGTTATTCTGCACACAGACATTCACCAAGTACCTGACTTCTGCTAGCCAAACGAGCAGGTGAGAAGCCTGGGATGCTGAGATTCATTTTAGACCAGTTAAGGAGCATATATGCATTACTATTCCTTACGTTGTCCTCATTCCTCAAGCTTGATGACATCAACCTGTCTCCTCTTTACCCTTGGTTCCTTGTTTCATTTGAACCCCTCAATGTCAGGCTTCCTTGCTCAGGAGATTCTAGTTCCCTTTGACAGGCTCTATATCTCATTTGTCTTCTTAACTCACTCCATACCACCAAACCCCTTTTCCTCTCCACTCAGTTAACTCTTAAACACCACAGTTTGATCCCACACCTCACAGCTCCTCTAGAAAAGGACTTTTCTCCTCAAGCCTCAAAATTGAGCCCTAAATTCCAACACATTTGAAAATCAGACTGTGACTGAAAACAAAACACAAAAGAATAACTGGGCATTTTACCACTTGTTTTGCACCATAGCAACAAAGATGACTACTGCATGAAAATAAATCCCAGGTTCTTGATGCCCTGGACTGAAGCACCCACTTACTGAAACCAGCCTTTGGGCTGTCCATCCAGAATAATACAGCATCCTCAGTTAATTACAAAAGTTCATCCACACCCATGGTGGACTTTTAAGCCTATTTCAAAGGCTAATCACTTTGCTGAATTCAAATAAATTTACACACGAATAACAGAAGATATGCTAAAAAAGCCCATCTCTCTCAGATTCCTTTAGAGGGGAATACTAGGACTTCTCTAATAGAAAAGAGATATGAGTTTCTCCTCTAGTAAAATGAGAAAACATATCACTGAGTTTCACATCTTATAAAATATATATTTGCCCAAATTCTCATCATAAAGGCTAAAGACGCCCAATTTACAATTATATGGAATGAAATTTTCCATTTTAGCAACTTACGTGCTACTAAAAATGCAAGAGCAAGATGGCAAGCTCCAAATAAAAGAGACATTTATCTAAGACTATTCTGCAGTTCAACAGAAATGTTTTTTAGATCAATAACCAGTAAAAATCAGTTGAAAGATATACATAAATATAAAAATACTAGGAAGAAAAGTTTACTTTGGCTTGTTACTCTTGTAACATCTCACCAGATACCGCTGAATGATATACTCTGACTCCTCCACTTTCAGTATTAGTACATCCTTACCTGTTTTTAACATGAGCCTTTCAAGTTCTCTCTCTCTCTCTCTTTTTTTTAATATGTATAAAGGAACTGCAGTGGAAACAAACTATTTTAGCAAGAGTGCAAGAGTCAAAACAATGAGTTGATTAGATGACCAGCTCAATTAAAGAACTCAGGTCACAGGCACTCATGAAGTTCTTACACACATGTAACCTGAGCATCCTTCAAGATACTGAGAAGTAACTGGGTACGTCAGGACTGCACTCTTCCAGAACCGTCATGGACAGATTCCACAGAAGTCTTCCATCACACCTTGACAGGCAGTTCCATCAGTACAGACTCTTCTACAGCTACATCATCCTTGGTTAAACTTACTTCCAAAAGCATTCAACAGAAACCAAAGTTTCCAAACATAAATTCCATCTGTCTCATTTCTACATGAACTGGAATAATCAGATGAAGCTTTACTTGTATAGTTCTAAAACACATGAAGGACCCAATAAGCAATTCCTTACCTATGTTTTCCATAAAACTAAAGTTTTCTACCATGGACCTCAGATCAACTTTCTTTACACACACACACACAGACAGAAAAAAAGCAGAGAAAAAAATACTTAAGCAAGAAAAACATCCTGAATCCTTAGCAGTGTATAATATCATGACTTTCAGCAAGGACACATGAAGAAGGTAAGATATGAGACTAGGATATATTCAGCTTGATGAGAAAATCTTCAGAAATATACTTATTCTAAAGAAACACATATAAAGTATATTCTAAAAGTTCTAAATTCTTAATTTTAATATAATGAATATAAACAAGAAATCTTCCTTATATGGTAGATTGTCATTATTATTTGAATAGAAACATGTGCATCACAGAAAATAAAATCTACATACAGTACTTGGCTATTTTATTAGAAAATTAAGTAAAAATGCTAAGAATTCAGAATTCCCCCACAAAGGTACTGATAGCATGGACATATTGAAAAGGAAAATACAGATAAAGGTGAGCAGAGCAGCATATACTTACTCATTCACAACTCAAAAGCTATTTATATTACTGACCAAGCTGTAACGAATGCAAAGTCATGTCTGTCTGCAAGATATGCCTGCTCACCCTCAGCATACAGTAGCATAATTGCATCCTCTATAGGGGACACTGCAAACCTGCAAAAGCAGCCTCACAGATTCCTTATGTATGCTAGCATACACGCTTTTTATCTGGGGAAGAAAAGGCATTAAGTCCTCACCAAGATATTTTTTTTTAATAATCACTATGCTTCATTTGTATATCAAACTAAATGCTATTATTATTCAAGTGAGAAAGAACTTATTTCATTTATAATTGAATCTCAGCATTGTTTGAAACATTTATTTGCAAGAACTTTGCATATTTCTTTCAAAGGATCTTTGATAATCATCAACCCAAAATAAGTACATTTCCCGAGATGAGAGTTATGCAGTCTGAAAAAAACCTTTACACTAGTAAGTCTAAAAACACGGTCTAAGACTAGCTTAGCATGCACTGACCTTAGCCACAGACTAATAATAGACTCCAGTGCATCATATCACTTACAATGTTTTAGATTTATGTTCTTAAACTTAAAAATTTGTGATAAAGGGACTAATTTTTCAGCTAAATTTTTTTTTCAGTTTTCAAATAGCAGTAATACGGTGATCTCGCTTAGCTTGAATTACTCAAGTCAATGTCTGATGGTAACTGCAGGTTGTCAACTGACATTATCGCAAAACTGAAAAAAATGATAACAAAATATTTTTGTAGAAAGCAAAGGCTTGAAATTTACTTTAAAATACCCTTTAAGTATAGAAACACATACACACACACAAAATTGCATTTCTGTGCTTTCCTCTAGGATTTTAAGAAATATTAATCCTCAAATACTGAGGTATTCTGGCTTGACATGACAGTTTCAAATCAAAACAGTCTAGATGCACAAACAGAAAAGTCAGCATTAACTTTACCAAGTACAAGAATGTCTGTAAGAACAAAGATGAGTATTTATTTCCCCTAGCTATTCCCTCATTCTTAAATGTATTCAACACTGTAGAGTTGTTTCATTTTTTACTGTACTTGAAGTGGATGACTGCAGTTACAACCCTTTCTCTCTGTATACTTCTTTAGATGTGATATTTACAGAGGTCATCTTTGTACTGTTGTAGGCAACGTTAACATGCAATTCAAACCAGACAATGTTCACAGAGTAGGTACTCCTGAATAGCATTGCCATAGGCAAAGGTGTATAAGGGATATATACGTGCATGCTATATGCAGCACTGTTGAGATAACTTTTGAGAATTAATACAGTCTGAGAATTTGCCCAATACTGTATGTACAGTCTAATGCACATGCTTTAGACTAGTATCTGATTAGAAACATGTTAGCCACCACTTTGTATAAATTCAACAGCTTTTCAATGCAGTTGCCTTTAATAGGCAGTACTGAATCTCACACCAGAAGCTATCCTTTTATGCCTTTCAGACTGTTATGTACAATGTATTTGCAATTGAGGATATAAACAAAGATTAAAGGTTATTTTTATACAAATCAAAGTTATTTTATAAATTATATATTCATGCTCTAATTCAGCACAGATATTCTATGATCACACACAGAGACCTTTAAGGGCTGCGTGTCCATTTTCACCGCATACTGTGATCCTACACTTAAACTGGCACAAGAGAATTACAATCTGAAGAATTAACCATGCAGGCATCTTTCAGGAAAAGAGGAAGGAACATAGCTAACAATTGCAAGCTTTGACAGAGGTTCCCTGTGTGGCTTTGAACAAAATACTCATTCCTACTAGAAACGATTTGATTCTGATCTAATTAGATTGCAAGTTCCTCGGGGCAGAGGCAAGAGTCATGTAATGTAAAGAAGGGCCACTGCCTGGTGTCTCTGGCCCTTAAGATAAATAAGGAGACATCAAGGGCAGTAAATGCAGTTTATACGTCACCATAATTGTAACTTCACAGTCATGGAAAAAAAAAAATACCACAAGTAGAAAGAGGGGACAAAAAGTTCTCTACAATGTGATGCTGGAATGCTTCAAATGCACTTTTCCCCCTAGTTTATGAAAACAAACAACTTCACAACAATGTGGAATGTAAATGCTATGACCCAAGCACCATTACTTGGGTCATAAGAAAGATCGAAGTTCTACATCACTGTTTTAGGGTCCATTGAAAACTAAACAAAACAAAACATATTTTAATACATTTAACCAAAGAGTTATACTGTAAGCTTAATAATTTATACTGCAATAGCTTAACGCAGCCTTTCAGCACCACTGTATGAAGAATTCCAGCTAATGTAGCATTTTACTAAAACTCCCTGAAATCCCTGACCATGATCCCTTCAAAACAGCTCGCCAGTTATGATATTCTACTGTACAACAGTAATACATTTTTAAAGAGCACCTCATGGATCACTTCTTCACTCCACCCAAAAGAGTTCCTCCTCCTTGATTTTTTTTTTCTTTTGTAGGAAGAGGAAAAATTGTTTACTTTCGTACTTTTCATACTTTATACTTTTCCTCATGCACATATAAACTACAGTTATCACGCATATATACAGAATAACATGAGAATGCACCTCAGCTATAGCGACTGCCCTGCCCACCCTTTCTGTCATACAGAATGACAGCTTATGGGGGCTTCTGCTCTTCAACTTTCACTAAGGAGCACCTGTTCATTTTTAAGGTATATATCACGACATATTTTATCATTTCCAGTATGCTCCACAAACACTAAAAATGCAGTACTGAAAACTGTCCTGAGAAACACTTTATAAAGTCTCTTTAAATTACTTTTTAAATTACTGTATTCTGTAAGATTGTCTATTATCTTCTTCCTCTCAGAATGAATCCTAAAGTAACACCCATTGTGGGATATTGGCTAATGTATTCTCATTACTGCTATGACATTTTGAATGTAAGAGGCAGGCAGTCGTAGATCACCTTTTGTACAACCAGCCCAACTGCATCTGTGAGAAAACATAAGAGTGCAGGCCAAGCACAGGTAAATTCATTGCATCATTTTTGCCGGATGCAAATGCACACGTTTAAACAGCATATTGCCCAGCTCTGTTACAAACCACTGAAATCTCCAACGCGCATTCAGAAGCCACTTAGCGGGAGGAAAGATGCCATTCACACAAAATAACTTAGACGGGCACTTGGCAAGAGCTCAAACGGGAGCACAAAGAATGCGGGCAGTGCACTTGGAGTGATCAACACCACTTCATACTCCCTCTACAGGGACGGGTAAATAGCGGGGGGTTGGAAATAAAAGAAAGCCCCAAACCACAGAGGCCGTGCAGCTAAGCACGTTAACAGGAGCAGCCTCAGAAATCCACACCCGGGAAGAAGCCCGGGGATGGGAGAAGCCCGGGGATGGGAGAAGCCCGGGGATGGGAGAAGCCCGGGCACGTAGCGCCGCTTATTTCAAACGCGCGGGCCAGCGGAGCGGGGCTGCAGCAGGGCAGGGCGCCCTCGTGCCGCCGCCGCGCTCGAGCCGCTTCCCGAGCTCGCCTGGCCCTAGAGGCGGTTGCCCCGCGCTCCCTCGGGCCCCCGCCGCCGCCGAGCGGCCGTTAACGGCTGCCGCCGAGCGGCCGTTAACGGCTGCCGCGCGGGCTCAACGGCCGCTGCTCGGCGCGCCCTCCGCCAGCGCGCCCCGTGGGGGCGGCGGGGACGGGCGGCGGAGCCGGCCCCGCAGCCGGGCCGGGCAGCCCGCGCCGCGCTGCCCAGCACGGAGCCGCCTGCGCCCTCCCCAGCCGGCCCGGGCGCAGCGGCCCTTCCCGCTCACCTCGGGCGAGGCCACGCGACGGATGGATCGATGGATGGATGGAGACAGGGCGGGGAGGAGGGAGGAGCGGGCCGAGGACGCGAGCAGCGGAAGGGAAGCGGCTCGACGCAAGCTGCGCCGAGCGGCGGCGGTTGGTGCGGCTCCCGCGCGCGTGCACGGCACCCCCGCCTCAGTGCGCGCCGCCGCCGCCGGGCGGGCACGCGCCGCGCTCGCTCCCTTCCCCCTCCCCCGCCTCCCGACCGCCCGCGCCACGTGACCGTCCGGGGGGCGGGGCGCGGGCGCGCGTGGCCGGCGCGCGGCGGGGCGGGGCGGCGCGCGCGCGTGCGCGGCCGTTGCGCGGGAGGGGGCGGCTGCAGGAACCGCCGCCATCTTCCGCGTTGGGGCTGGGGCAGCTTCACTCACCGTCCTCCTCCTTCCCTTGCTGTCCCACTGCTGCCACAGCGCCCAGGGGCTTCCCACGGAGCGTGGGGCTGCTGCAGCCCTGATGCCTGTGCCCGTGGGCCCAGCTTGTGTGGCGTGGACGGGCTCTTGGGTGGCTTCGTTCCTTCTTCTTGCTCCCTGCTGGATGTGTCAGGGATGAAGTGCGGCTGTTGGGCAGCTCCCAGTAGCCTCAGTCCCAGCCCTGTCCTGTAATTAATGTTTCCCCAAACTAATATTTCAAATGACACTGCTTTCAAAATGCAGATTTTTAAATCACTTACTGCATCCTTCTTTGGAAACTTGTTGTATCCAGAGGGCCTTCAACTTTTTTTTTTCTTTAATGCAATTTCAGAATTGCGAAATCAGAACGTGTCCAGCAGGCCTGGGGTGTCTTTCAGGTCAGCGGGTGCTTTG